TGTTTTTTTTTTTGGCGGTTTTATGTTTTTTTAAGATACAGTATTATTTTTCCTTCGTACCAAGTAGATGGAGATTTTCATATCACTTCATGTCATATCATGTGTCAATGTCCATGTCCTTGTACTTGTCCATGTCGATCTCAACAAACACACGGGAGACATCATTCAATTCTTGTTTGATTTCTCAAAGGACAGGAGACGATTCTTTCGGTGATTTTGTAGGGTGTGGGTTGTGGGTGGTCGGTGGTTTGAGGGAAATCTTGACACAGATAGACGTCTATTCTACTGTACAGTATATCAGTGACCTCTATCGAGGGAAATGAGCCCTTCCCTCCCTCCCTGTGGCAGTATCATAAATGCATAGAACAGATCCGTAATATCTCTAGATGCCCAATAGCCAATACCTTTGTATAGACCTTCCCGTCTAAAAGTCCCAGCCGAGTCATGGCTTATTCTCTTGTACGATGGACCGTCTGCCCAAAACACCGCCTCTTAGAAATGACTGGAGGGAGTTCACTCTTGTGGCCCAAAATATTGCTTCAGAATCTGCTTCTTGTTGACTTTGCCCATCGCGTTTCGTTCGATCGACTCGACAAGTTTGAGGATCGCGGGTACTTTGTAAGCGGCCATGTCTTCCTTCAGGTGCTTGCGCAGTGTTGCCAGGTCGAGGCCAGTCGGGACAGCCTGGTCGATCGTTAGCACTCACGTCTGATCACTCCAAGCAGAGCCCATAAACCACTTACCGAGTCCTTCAGCTTGATGACGGCCGCGACTCGCTGTCCCCATTCCTGATCCTCAACGCCGACAACCACAACTTCACCAACAAGACCGCTCAGGTACTCGTTGCCCAGAATCTTTCTTTCAATCTCCAACGCCGAGATTTTGTACCCCCCGCTCTTGATAATATCGACACTGTCACGCCCGAGAATGAAATAGGCGCCGTTCTCCTCCCTCTTTGCAACGTCGCCCGTCTTGAACCAGCCGTCTTCCGTAAACGACTCAGCAGTCGCCTCTGGTCGCCGGAAATACTCGGTAAACACATTCGGCCCCCGGATCTCAATCAGACCCGACTCGTCCTTGCCCGAAGACGTAATGATCTGGCCAGTCTTCTCGTCCGTCAGGCGAACCTGCACGCCCGGCAACGGCCATCCCACACTGCCGTCAATGCGCTTCTCCTTTTCCAAACCGCAGCTCAAGGCCATGCCTATCTCAGTCATGCCGTAGCGCTCAAGTAGCTCATGCCCTGAGATCTCCTCAAACTTTCGCTTTGTGGGCACCGGCAGAGCAGCCGACCCACTAACAATCAGACGGAGGGCCTGCACACCTTCTCGCGCAGCTGGCTCGGATGTGGTTCCACGTATGCTGGAGTCAAAATAGTCGATTAACCTCGAATACACCGTAGGAACGGCCATAAACATAGTCGACGACCCTTTCTGAGACCAACGAGTCCAAACAGTCTTTGCATCGAATTTCGCATACATTTCCACCGTCCCACCAGCGAGCAATGTGGCAGTAAGGCCGTTAACTATGCCGTGGACATGATGAAGAGGAAGAACATGGATCAAATGGTCGGATCGGCTGTATTTCCAAGCCTCAACCAGGCTGCGTGCTTGGAAGGTGATGGTTTCGTGAGTCGAGATGCACCCTTTCGGTCTCGAAGTCGTGCCCGATGTGTAAATGATTAGTGCCCGTCGGGATGATGGGAAACTGGGAGAAAATCGAGGGAGAAACGGAAAGTTTTTCGAGCTTGGAATGTGCGGTGTGAGGGACATGATGGGGATGCCAGAGGCCTGTTCCTGCAGACCAGCCTCAAACTTCTGGAATGATGGATGCACAATAATCAGAGACGGGTCGGAATCCGAAATCGTATACTGGAGTTCTTTGAGCGGATGGGACGTGCATAACGGCACCGAAACAGCTCCAGCCGCCCATACTGCCCACTGGGTGACAACATAATCGTATCCCGAGGGAACAAGAAATGCGATTCTAGGCTCCTCCTCAAACGTCGAAACGACGGGGTCGTATCCTGAGAGATACCGCTGAATCTGGGCTTTCAGGGCTGCGACATCGTTCAGGAGTTGGACAAACGTAAAACTCTGGTCTTTGGTCTTGTCGATGACGGCGACCTTGTGGGGGTCTGCAAGAGCGTGAGATCTAGCTTCGGCGAACAGAGGTAACTCAGGTATCGAGGGTTCGTCCTTGGTGCTTTGAACTGAATATCCAGATACAGGCAGACTCGATGTAAAAAAGTCGAGCTGCTTGTCGGCCGGGAAGTGCCATCCGGACTGGCTTGGAGAAAAGGAGACCTCGATACTCATACTGGCTCGGTTAGGGAATTCTTTCCTTGTAGTTGGTGGTGGTAGTGCTTGAAAAAGCCGTTATGGTCGTGGTGCCGGACGGCTACCATAAGAATGCCATATTTAATAGCTCTTGATCCGCATCCAATTTCATTGGGGATCCAAAAATGGAAGTCGATCACCCCAACAATAACTCAGAATATTCATCATATGTGGCGCATGAGTGCCGGGACAAAGCAATTTTGGCCAAAGGTTGGCATCCGGAGGCACGGCGATTTTTCAATGATCGAGATGAACAAACTGCAGAGGCAAATATCCCCGAACGGAATGGTCCGAGTGGGTGTAACCGAACGATGCTGGGGGAGCATGGATCTTTTCCGCCAGTGCCACGGGGTATTCTCGCTTCCATCGGACTGTGGCTCAGGATTCTTGGGGGCGGCGAACCCCAGTCCGTCACCATGACTGCTGGAGAGATCCTTCAGCACCACGTCTTTGGCCTTCTTCCTCAACCGCCTCTATAAACAGTTCCGGCATTTCACTTTCCGTGAGGGATGCGCTGGCTTCAAGATAAGCAGCCTTGAAGGTATCCCACAAGGTCATGTCGCTGGGGTGCGTTGAAACTGGTGAAGGGTAATATGGATCGCTGAGATAGAAGGCTCTTTGCAGCTGCCTCACGCCCGCTGGGGACTCTGAGAATGTGCGACACTGGTTGAAATCCAGCAGCCAGATGCCTATGGATCGTCGATAACACTCGAACCGGATGATGTTGGAGACGTTGGCAAGGTTGCAGTTTCTGCTCTCCAAACGCATAGCTGTCTGCTCAGCTTCGACGTGTGCTGTCTTTCCCAAAACGAACTCAACGCCATTGGCATCAATCTGCGCTCTCCAATGCAGGACTGCAAGCGTTTGAGCCATGGCTCTAGCCCAGGTACTTGTATCAAGTTGCAGAAACTCCATTTCATTGACCGTGAGCTCAAAGTCGCGAAGTCGAAACGCGGCTGAAAACGCTGATCGCTCAGCCCTTCGACCCAAGTACAGGCGGACCAAGCAGTCCTGGTTCTCCGGCTTCGCCAGGAAATCCGTCTTGATGGCTTTGATGGATTCAGGAGCGAAAAGGTCAACGATGGCCTCTCGAACGTGTGCGGGTAGTCCGTGTACTCTTGTCGATAACACGCCACATGTTGGCTGGAAGTCTTGAGGAAACCATCCGCCGAACTCGCTCCAGAACGTCCCATCAGAGGGTTGCACCAAGCTAATCCAACGCGGTATGTTGATATCTGGCCGGAATTCCCAGGGCGCCTGTTGAACTGCAACTTCTGCCCTCCTGTGGCTACAACTGTCCTTCCAGAGCTGATCTCGCCTCACCTCGTTGCTTGCCTTGAGAACGAGATCCATCAGAGCCCAGACGGTTCCGCACTGACCCTTGCCGACCTGTTTAGGTCCGTCCTGGCACCCAAAAGACGCAGCCGAGTCGGAAATCGAGTGCCGTCTGCAGAATTTGGTATTGGCGCCATCGCCGCGGTTGGCATCGAGGAAACACGAAAGAATGTGGCCCATGGTTGGAGGGGGACTTGTTCTGGTCTGAACGCCCTGAAATGGCAGAAAACGGCTCTGCAGGGTGTTATATCTCTGAAAACATGGAGGTCCTGAATGACCTACTGTGTGTCCGATCCACATCCTGGTTCCCGCTTGATTTCATGGCTCACACTCGCGGCGGGGACTCTCAAGAGTGGACGACTTACCAGGCATTGTTCCTCATTCTAGGACGACGCAGTTCCTGAGGAATGCTGACAATTTTTTCCATTTTGACTTTGCAATGAACGGGTGGTTTCCTGCGCAGTTTGTCGTGCGAGAGGACCTGCGACACTCGGAGTATTCATTCTGTCTGACATTGTCATATCCCGCAGTGACTGTCATGTCTGTGCCCATCTGCGACGGTTCTTCCCTGTCAGACAGAAACATTCTAGCTGCTCCTAACAACTCCTCTCTACACCTTTCCAAGTGCTTGCTTCATCTCTCATGTCTTGTCACAGCCCGTCTCGTTGCTGAGGGTAAACGTCAGTATCGTCAATCTACAATCCAGGTGAGTGGAAGCCCTGGGCGGCTTGCGATCACCCATTGAAGCACACTTTTGACCACACCAGCATCCTGCTCCATCGCCATGATTTGTATCGCCTCACTAGAGGACCCCTTCGTATTGGAAACGCTTTTCCGGCAATCAGTCCACCCTCTTGCTCTTACACAGGCCATCGAGAGATGACACAAGCTCGCAGCGAATCATCTCGCGCTTGACCAACGGCTGCGTTGCTCCATTGCCAATTCCGAACACGAACCCGCGGCCATCTGGTGAGCTCTGAACGCAACCCCGCCCTTGGACCCTAGGATAGGCACGCGACCCCTCGCTCGTGGGAGGGATAGAATATGACTTCAGACGTCGTAGGGGGATATGACAAACGACCTCTCTGCTCCCTTGAAACTCCTTTCTGAGTCCTACTAACTCACCTCTCGACCTCCGCCACAATGGAAAACAAGCAAGAAACCCCGACAACAGCCCTTCCCACCACCACAACCACCACTACCACCACTGGGAGCGGCGTGGGTGCGTCCCACCGTCGCTCGAGCAGCGGTATCTCGGACGACGCGGCCAAGTCGGCTCACGACTTCATGGCGGGCACCATCCGCCGCTCGTCCAGCGGCGTGACCGACGACGCAGCCCGCGCCGCGCACGACTTTATGCGCTTCTCCAGCAACAGAGCCCCGGGCCTGAACGACGACCTTACCCAGAAGATGCACAGCTTCATGGAAGGTCCCGCCACGCACAGGGAGAGTCATAGCAAACACCTGCCCGATGTCACGTTGCCAGGCATCACGGACGAAGTGGTTGAGGAAGCCGTCGAGTTTGTGGATGCCGTCGAGAAGAGCGCATCAAAGGCTTGAGCCTCTCCCCAAGCAATTCGCTCTTTAAAAAGGGGTGCACATGTGTATGATGTACAGGATGTAACTTGAATACAGCGTTTATTGCCGGTGTGGGATGGCCGACTGGTCATCTAGCTCGCTGTGTGGCGGGATAAGGGGAAAAGTCGCCTGTATGACCAAATTGCCGAATGCACGTCTCCAAAAAATCAAGCTGGGCTGCGTCGTTGTGTTTGGATTGTTGGCGCGGGATATGAGTTCTATTTCCTCGTCGCGTCTACATATCGAAAAGGGGAAATGCAATCAGATGTACATATCCCTACGACCTCCCTCGATAAAGGGAAGAAAAACGGCAGAGAAAAAGGTAGTGCCTTGAAATACTTGCTCGAGCATTCAATTGATAGGACCAGAACTACCTAACCGCCCTCATATCTGTCTCTCTCTCTATATCTCTTCTCCCTCCCCCCCTTTCCGTCTCCCTGTACTATAAACCCCTTCCACACTCTTCCTGCGCACAGCTCACACCTCCTCTTGGTTCAATGATACTAAATATCAAGGAGAAGGGGGTTATGTAAACTGCGTAGTCCCGTCGAGTCGAGATCAAACCAGATCGAATCAGATCGAGATCAGATCTAAGGTCCGTCGCTGCGGCTGAGAAGAGTTGACCCATGCCTGTCTCCCTGTTCGACATGCTCGAGTGGCCTGACTGCGTTGCATGGGCGGGAACCGCCGTCGGGGTCGACATCGGAGTCAGAGTCGGAGTAAGAGAGCAGGGAGGGAGGAGGGGAGACGTAGAATAAACCAACGCAAAAAAAAAGGGGCACGTTTCCGGTTCAGCAGATCAGACGCGAGACAGGAGATGAGAGAAGTCTTTAGTTAGTCCGTCTGTCAATTTGCAATAGCTACCATTTCTTCCACATGTTGCGACACACGCGACAGGCTTGAGGTGAGAAAAAGCCGCTCACTGGGCACAGTCAAGGAGGTCAAGACAGACATGCCTCCCCAAGACGTATTTGCTACACGTATCGTGTCAGCTGTCAAGCCTCAACCCAGATTTATTCATTTGTGGTACATTCTGAACAGTTCGCTGAACCCAACGCCTCAAAGCACCTTTCATCTCCGTCGTATCGTAGCGTAATCGTCGTTGTTTCTCCCCCAATCCTCAACTCTCTTCAAACAGCCAGGCCAACGACTCAGGCCAGTCGTTATCTGACTTTTCGTTGTTGGTCATCTTCATTCTCCATTTCCGGTACCCTTTCCTGGCAAGTCGTTGGTCAAACTCTTGTTTGCATCCGGCACACCAACGCTCCCTCGGTAGAGGTCTTTCGTACGCCAGACCTAGAATGTATGTTCGCCGGGGACAATTGGGCACCCAACAGGATGAGCATCTCGCTTCTCGGCGGCTCTTGGGTAAGGGGATGTCGTCGAGAGCGTGCCATCGAGACTCTTGATGGCTGGCATTGACTGTACCGGTTCCAGTCTTCTTGTTGTCCTTGTGCTCTTTCCACTCAATCAAAGCAGCCTTTCGCTCTGACAGGCCTCCTGCGAATGTGAAGCTGGGAGCCCACCACTTCCTCCTCCCGCGATCGCGACTCGCATGGCGTCGTCTTCGCGTCATTCGCTTCCGTCCTCGCCAGTTCTCCACGACTTCGGCAATTCTCCGTTCGAAGCCGTCGATTTCCATCAGATCCTCTTCTCGCCGTCTTTGCTCCTCGAGTTCGAAGCATGTAACACAACCCCACCACAACTCAAAGGTCGAACTGCCACATGAGGAACAGACTCCAACCTCCTCGTCTGGATTAACGAGGCTTTGGCCTTCAAGCATCCACCGACGAAGTCTGCGGCCTTTGCTCGACTTGCGGACTGTATCGCTCTTCTTGACCCAATTCTCCTTCCACCATTCTCCCTCGATGTCGCGATATCGGCGCATGCAGTCCTTACATAGCCTATTTTGGGCGAATTTGGCTCCGAGGCCGGTGCCGCGATTGCTCATTCTCTCGACAAAGCACCACAAAGGTTTTTCCTCAAGGCAGCCGTAGCATCGGAGTTCTCTAGCAGGACGCTCGATCAGCCGGAAGTCGAAGGCAGCATAGAGCAAATCCCATAGGTGGCCAAGTCGCTGTCTTGGATACATGGATCTGTACTCTCGATACTGCTGCGCCTCATTCTCAAGGCTTTCCTTAACCAACTTGGAACGAACGCGGCGGACGACTTCGGTCGGAAGCATCTCGTAGAATAGGTGACATGTTTGTCGAAGAGCGAGTAAAGTGTCAAAGTCGACGTAGGTGGTGGCAAGGAGGAAATGCAGATCGCGAGGTAAGATGGAGAGGAAGGCACTCTTTTGCGCCCCGCCCGCGGTTCGGTCCAGCTGAGGTTTGTTCGCTGACAACAAGGTCGATATGGACGCACGTTGCTTCGCTTTCCAGATCAAAGAGGTCTGATGTTGCATCTTCATCATTGGGGGAATTTGGCCTGCCATGTTCCGCTCTGTGACGGTGACTCTGGCAGTCTCCTTTCGGTTGTCCGGCAACTGTTCATCGGAGGTGTTTCGAGAAGATTCACCACCGGCTCCTCCTGAACGAAACGACGATTTCGAAGGCGGTGCGAGGCAGGAATGACTCCCCCCAAGCAACTGAGAACTTTGCTCCATGGTTCGTCAATCGGAGGAAGTTGGTGGTTGGACTCACAGTGAGTGAGTGGCGGTGTCGCGAGTGTGATAGGGTAGCATGAAGAAATACAAGACTGTTTAAGATTCCCAAACACTCTTTTGGACACAGTGTCGGATGGAGATGGCCCAAGGCAACAATGTTTGCCAGTTACACACAGTGAAAAGTAGGGAATCGTGTCTTTGTCAGGCTGAGAACAAGGCAACAATCATAAACAAGTTATACCATGAACGCGCCTGCACGAACCAGTCAACAACGGTGAGGGCAAATTGAGTAGGAAATGACAACTCTGGTATCAAACGGGGCAATTTCGCTCTTCAAGAATCGTGCAAATACTGATAGAAGGGAAGGGATGCTAGATGTTTTCAAAGAGTGATGGGTGATGGGTGAGATGGTCAAGATGGTGAAGGTCCAGTGAAGGTTGGAAAAAGCGGGGAGGGTTGGAGGGGGGGAAGAGGAAGAGAGGAATCCGTCGATAGCGATGGAGACAGCGATGATGAGATGGAGGAGTGGATGAATGGACGGATGGGCATGCATAGCCCTGGCACCCTAGTCCGTTCCGTAGCTTGGGTGATGCAAGTACGACGTGCTTGTAAGGGGGTTCCCAATGTTTTCCCTTTCTTTCTCAATCCCGGGACGCGAATCGATCATGTTTTGGGGCTTTGTCGATGACGGAGGGGGATGGGCTGTAGGTGGTGCTGGTGGTGCTGGGGGGTTCATGGGCTGATGCAGGGGGTTTCAAGGGTTTCCAGGGGCGAATGAGAGGGGGCATAACGACTGGTTTCCATTGACACGGTGACTTGTTAGGGCGGGTGGACGGTCATTGGCACCCCAGAGGCTCTCAGAGGCACGCAATAGCCAACCAGGCCCCCGTGACGACCAGGCGCCACCAGTGTGACAAAGACACCGGGGGCACCAGGGGTTTCTTCTCGTTAAGCCAATGCTGGCAATCTTAGCGAGTCGCAGCCGCCACCAGTCGCCTACTATGAGCTAGACTTACTTATTTGGTGCTCTCCGAACTTTTGCAATTACTTAGGCCTGCGAGCCCATCAGTCCAAGCGGGTTCCTAGTCGCCCCCAAACAAGTTTCTAACTCAGCCACATTTCTCTCCGAATCACCCAGCAAGCCAGGAACCACAGAGACAAATAAGCCGCAGGAATGATCCAACACCGCGACACTCGCACTCCCGACGCTCACGGTGCCACGTTCATGCCTTGCCCAGACACTTGGATCCTGACAGGAAGAATCAAACAAAAAGCAAATGAAAACTCGACATCGGCTAGTATCTGCAGCCCTATATCCAGCGCCGCGCCCTTCCGCTATGAATTTCGATCACGCTGTTCAAGCCTCATACTGGTACACATACATGAGCAGTGACACATGGACCACAGTATCCTGGAGTCTACAGTAGATCCCCACACCCTAACTCTTTCTCCGCTTTGGGGATATGCAAATGTGGCGAACCAAACAGAAAACATGGCCTACATCATAGACATTAATGAGTTCGTTGCATACGCCTATGATTCTGTCAGTCGCATGCCAATTGTGGACGTTAGGGCACTGGTCAATCGACTCACCATGGGCTTGATATCAGGATGAGGGACGGCTTCAAACTGGTGATACTCTAACTTCAGGTCAGGCCCGATGTTGATGTATGCTCCCTTGTTCTCTGTCGTGTCGCAGTATTTGGGCGCAGAGAAGACTACAGGGACATATGTCAGTGGCCAGCACAGTTGACTTGTTCCAGAAAACATACCAGTGATGCACTTTCCATCATGCTCAACCTCGTAGCCATCCATTCGCACCTCGTGGCTTCGAATCACAGCCTCGAGGTTGTTGTTTTCACAGAATTTCTTCGTCACATCGGGGCCAAACTGCAGCCCGACTCCTCGCTTACTGGGGCCTCTACCATTCTGAGGTTGAGGATCCGTCCAGAGCATTTCCATCATAAGCCCAGACTGGCCAGGCTGCCGCTGCACGTGACGATCGAGTTTGCGGATGTCGTCTAGCGTAACTTTATCGTCCGAGAATAGCCCGCCATGGAGTGTAAGGTATTTCTTCCCGATCAATGTTGCCAACGGTAGTGCCGAGAACGACTCAGAGAACAGCTTGAATGTCTTCTCATTGTATTTGGCCTTGCATTCACCTTCAAAACCATACACCCGGTTCATATCGTCCGTCTCGTGGTTGCCCCGATTCAAGAAGAAGCCGGTAGGTCGCAGCCACTTGTAGGCATAGAGGAGTAGGGCGATTTCCGTCGACCATGATCCTCGATCCACAAAGTCGCCGTTGAATAGGTAGGCATGCCTGTCCGTCGGGAAGCCGTTGAGCCGGAAGATCTCCAGCAAGTCGAAAAACTGGCCGTGGGTATCCCCGCAGACCGTGAGTTTGGTGTCCGGCGCCACGTCCATTTCGACCATGGTGGGCTCGTCGTACACGATATCTCTCACGGCCTTGATGATCTGAAATACATATTTCTTATGGATCTTCTTGCCATTCTTGAATCGCTCGATCATATCATCGATAAACTCCTGCGTCATTTCGTTCCCCAGCCTGACACCATCGTATTTCTCGTCCACCTCTATTGAGTCCAAGTCCAGTCCTTCGAATGCTGACGGAGGATCTTCCACTTCAATCGCCTTCAAGAACTGTATCTTCTTGACCAACTTCTCACACTCTGCCAGTTTAAGTCTTGCGTCTTTGTTGTTGGGCTCCTTGCGGCAGACTGTCTTGAAATCTCGGAGGGCATCTTGAGAGTTGAGAATGGCAGTGTTGGCAACCGCTCGTCTCCAATATGCCTATATAAAATAAGTCAGTGACCGGGGCCCAGAGCAGTAACAGTTTGACGGTCATGCCTTGATGTAATCTTTGTCGAGTTCGATCGCTTTGGTAGCGTCAGCGATGGCATAGCCGTAGGCTTCAAGCTTAATGTTGGCCTGCGCTCGGTTGCAATAGAACGACGGGTCTGCGTCGTACTTTTCTATCGCCTTGGTGTAATAGTCGATAGCAGAGGGCCAGTCATGTTGGGCAAAGGCCTGATTGCCCTTGACTTTGAGGGCGGTTGCAGCGGCCTTGTCTGCGGCGAGAGTCGAGGCCATAGCCGAAGAGATTGGGGCTGATTCGGCCGAGGAAATACAAGAGGATAGGTGCGGGGGAATAGGTCCACGAATGTTATCGTATCATGCCGGTGGTTTGGGCGAAACGTGTCGAGGAATGGGTGGTCGAGTGTTCACTTGCCTCGTTTTTTTGTCGCGGGCCGGCTGCAAGTCGAGAACTTTCGGAGAAGACGACGGAAACTCGCCAGACCTGCTGTCTCAGGCCCCAAAATGGGACCCAGATCTCCTCGAGGTCGTTAAGTGACAGCTTAGCTCCACGCTATCGGCAGATCAGCCGAAACCTTAATTGGGACCATTCGTCTTTGCGCTTTGTAGCACCCCTGCGTCAGTTGATCTTTGCTTCCTCATCAAGTGCATTCACCACCACTCCCCAAATCCTCATCATGGCCGGCCGCGGCAGTCGGACACGCGCCTGTATGGTCTGCTCCATCGTCCAACCCGCCACTGTGAGCAGCGACGTCGACGTTCCCAATCCTTTTCAACCGACTGACGTGGAACCGCAGGATTTCTACCGTAACGGTTGCCCCAACTGCGAAGAGATCTTGGGCCTACGAAACTCTCAAGATGCGATCCAAGAATGCACTTCCCAAGTCTTCGAAGGCTTGATTGCCATGGGAGACCCCAAGACCTCCTGGGTCGCCCGATGGCAGCGCCTGACCGATTACGTGCCGGGAATATATGCGGTCAAAGTCGTGGGAACGTTGCCGAGAGAAATTATCGATTCGCTAGAGGACAATGGCATCAAATATGTTCCAAGAGATGGAAGTGCGATGGAGGAGGACAGTGTTGCTGCTTCATGATGCGCAGAGAATCCAGATCGATTGCAAAGAATGATTTACAAGATCCCTTGGCCCCGATGATCAGTGACAGCAGAAATGACGGATCCACCCGAAACATGACTCCTCACGGGGCTTTCAAGTGGATGGTATACGGATTGATGGAATAACTTTTTTATTCATGCGTTACGATACCTCCCCTATTTGGGACCACCCATAACAGATTTGCGCCAAACGCTACAAAGTTAAGCCACTGGGCGACGTACTCCTTCATAATCCATACAAATTCTGCGCCTTCACGGTTCACAAAGACTTGGCCAATTTCTCAAAAGCATCAAGCAGAATGTCAGCATGGTGCTTCTGGAATATCAACATCGGCCTCAACCTTACGGCCGATGCACCACTGCCTCCAATGTTGATACCGAATGTCTTAGCCTTGGCCAGGAATTCGTCCCGTTTGGGGTTATCAAAGGCGATAAAAGTGCCTTGCCCTTTTCCTCGGAGGTTTTGGAATTGTTGAGGATATTGTTGAGCGAGCCTTTCAATGCCTGCGTATAGGTAGTCACCAACCGCCGATGTATTCTCCACCAGATTCAATCTCTCAATTTCATTGATGATGGCCCGGAAAAGGATTGCACGAGCCGGGTCGCCCATCCATGTGTTGAACTGTCGATAGGGCTTGTTCGGTCGCAAGTCTGGGTTGCCAAAGTAGTATCCTGCCGTCTGTGCTTTCTTGGAGAATGTCACCATGTCCGGTGGGTCTTCCAAGTTCCAGTGATCGTGGGCCCAGAATTTACCCGTCGCACCAACACCAGTCTGCACTTCATCGACAATCAAGAGAACATTGTTGCGGCGCGTGATTTCTCGTAGACCTCTGAAGAAGGCGGGACTCGCGTGGTTGTCGCCACCTTCAGACTGGATGGGTTCGACGATCACAGCCGCCACGGGATTGTGGTATGTTTTGATGATATGTTCAGCTTCTTCCAGGCATCTCTTTTCTTCCGCCGCATTTTCCTCTGCGTATTGTTCGAGTGGGTACTTTAGAGAGGGGAAGGAGCACTGAGGCCAGTCAAAGGCTGGGATGTCGATTTTGTGGATAGGCTTGCTGCGCGTGGTCGATAGGGTCCCAAAGAGACGGCCGTGGAAGGCAGTTTTGAATGACATGATTGACATATCAGGGGAACCAGGCTTCTGATTCTTCATTGTGCTCTCGATCTCTTCAGCAGTGAACTCAACATCGCGACCACCACGCTCTTGTTGTCGCTTCCACATGAAGGCAGCTTTGAAGGCGGTCTCGTTGGCGTCAGAACCAGCCGTCGCAGTGAAGACCTGGTCCAGGCCCTTGGGCGCCACCCGAAGAATACCGGTCTGGAGGATAGAGGCCCAGTCGTGCGAAGGAAAGTTGCCCAACGCGGGTCGGTTGATGATCGCAGAGGCCATCTCTGGGCTAGTAGCGGCGAGCAGGAGGGAAGGGTTGTTGTAACCGACAGGTATGGAGGCAATCTGGGCATACACATCGAGCAGTACGTTTCCATCAGGATCAGCTATATAGTTGGCGTAACTCTGTTGGTAGTTTGCCAGCATGTTGAGACTGCGAGTATCGAATACTTTGTGAAGCTCTGCAATGGCTTTTTGACTCTGAGGTCCTGGGATAGGCGTGACTACCGTCGGCCCAACTGGCTCATCGGGAAAGAATGCTGTTTCCATTGAGGGAGACTCGACGTGAGCTTGGGCTACGGCGGTAGCTGTACGCTTCTCAGGACTTGTCGCCAAAGCTCGAAAAGGTGTTGGTCTCAAGAGAGATCGGGCCGGGGTTGCTAGACGACTGACACTGCGCAGCCCGGCCGAGGCACGCAGGAAGGACGCCATTGCTCGTGTGCAATCAAGCTTTGTGGACGTTGATCAGTGTAACTGTAAATGGTGCGGGGTGGAAGACTGTGTGAGCAGGCCCGCGTCTTGACGCAGGATGTGAAAGAGCGAAGTTCAAACAACCTGTAGTATTGAATCACTCCTCACAATATAGGAACCAGGTTCCAGGTCGGAGGGTGTTATTCTAGGGGGAAGAAGGTTTTTAATTACTGGACCATCATGTCGAAAATGAAGGGCGCGATGCACCAGGGGGGCAGGAACAAACAAAATGCGGAGAAGCACGCCGCACATGCCTCATTGGAGGCTCGGATATCCTCGCACCTCAGCCTGCGCAAATCAGCGCCTATTGCGCTCCCCCACCGGTACAATTGGAGTCTTTGATAGCTGCTTTAGGAAACCCGATGCGGCATTCAAGACGTTTGAACGAAGGGTCTGCTTTGGAGGCAATATACGGTGTAGGTAAGAGTAAGAGACTTGAAGGCTAAGAGGGTATCTCTTTGACAAAAGCGTGGAGAAGTATTTCCTGCATATGTTTCTTGGAATCCTATGCTGAATCCAATGTATTTTTTATGGCAAATCCTCTCTATCCTCTGCGCTCAAGATTATCCATCACCTGCTCGTCACTTAATGGCTCCTGGCCCGGAGCTCGATCAGCTTGCGGGCCATCTGATGCACCCTTCACAAAGTCTGAGGGCTGGACTTTGTGCTCCGTCATCCTCGTTGAGCCCTTGGCAAATGGATCGTGAGTGACACCGCCAGGCACCGAATGCAGTCGTTTGGAATCGACTTGGGAGGGAAGAGAGTCTCCCGTTCCAGTCAGAATGTCATTGGCGATAGTGTCTCTGGTGGTCTGGAAACAGTCAGCTTGAGCGATGGTCAACGTCATGTTGGGCTGGGACTCACTCTAGGAATGTCGCCTGAGTTGGTCGCAGCCTCTGCAACTGTCCGGCCACCAAGGGCATTGGGGTCTATTTTGGAGGCTATTTGGTCTGGGCGTGCTTTGGAAGGGATGTATCTGGGCTCTGCTGCGTCGTCTGGAACCTTGGTGCCTTTCTGTGCCATGTCGAAGAGGTCACCTCCGCTATCTCGACCGGATTGAGCCATGGTGGATTTGGAAATGGTCGCGGTTTAACGTTGAGATTTCGAGTTAGCAATGCAGAAATCTAGCAAACAGTGTGAGTTGAGGGAGTTCAGAATCACAAAGCGGCAGATTTTTCCAGAGAATTTATTGCTCATCTAGGTCACCTTTGAGCTCAGAGATCGAACATTATCGTCATACAGCAGGGATGATGATGTCACGACACTTGCCGCTGATGTGGATGATGTCCCTTGCATGTTGATAGAACTGCTGCGTAGATGTCAGTTTGATATATGGTGATTGGCATTGAACACCCATTTCTGTCGTTGCAAGAATATATCGATAGACAAAGAAGCAGGAATGGTGAACATGAGTTGACTTCTCTAGCGTTGATTCCGTCAACATTTAGCTAGCGTCCTCTTTGGGCTCAATAAAGGGCTGCATCTCCCCGCAGCTGTCCGTCGAGTTGCCGAGGCAAAGAGCTTTGTACCTCGTAATCAGCGATGAGACAGAATCGATTGAAAATGATGTCTACTTCTTAATCTCAGCTTCCTCACGGTACATAATACTGGAAGCAATCGAGTTCGTTTGGTAATTTGAAGAATCGTCGCTGAGCTACCGAATCGAAACCTCTTGTTCTCTGACATTTTTGGACCGTCGAGCGAAGATGGCCGGTCCGAACAACGGAATCGTTCTATATCACTACTCATTCTCCCCATTTGCCAGGAGGATCCTGTGGTATCTCAGCCTCAGAGGTTTGGACTATGCTGAATGTGTAAGTGACCATCTGCTATATGACAGACCTTTTTGCCTGGACCGAGCGAGCGCTCACTGACAATGGGCGTAGAAACAACCGCCGGTCATGCCTCGGCCGGATCTCAGCGTCTTGGGCGTCAAATACAGAAGAATCCCTGTAATGACCATTGGCCGTGATGTCTACTGCGACAGTCGCATCATCCTTCGCAAACTGGAAGAGTTGTTCTCAGAGGGCGCTCTGGGTGCATCAAGCGGCGAAGAGAAGGCCATTGAGAAGTTTCTGGAAATCTGGAGCATAGAGGGAGGACTCTTCACACGGGCATCACAGCTGATCCCGACGAGCATGCCGCTTTTGAACGACCCCAAATTCACCAAAGACCGAGAAGAGTATTCTGGCCGACCATGGAGCAAGGAACACATTGCCGAGAATAGACCGGAGGCTTTGGCAGCCATCAGAAGCGGATTTAAGTTCCTCGAGACCACTTTGCTGGCAGACGGGCGGAAATGGGTACTCAAGACGGAAAAGCCGACTCTGGCCGACATTGAAGGTAAGTGAAAAGTACACTGCATGCACCTAGCAGGCTTGCAGGGTCGCTATACCATGTCGATTTGGCTAATGCAAGTGGCCGCAGCTATCTGGACCTTTGATTGGCTGAATGGACTAAAAGGGGCTCTTCCCCGGGAGTTGATCTCTGACAAGAAATATCCCAAGGTATTTGCGTGGATTGCCAGGTTCAATGATGCTCTCAAGGTTGCCAAAGCCCAGGCGCCGAAACCGGCCTCTTTGAAAGGTGACGCTGCGGCTGAGCGGATCCTCAACGCTTCCTTCGTGGACAAGGACTTGGGCGTCGACCCCGCAGATCCTCTCGGTCTGCCGCAAGGGACTGAGGTGGAAGTGTTTCCAATTGACTCAGGCACCCAACATCATGATCGCGGCCGCCTTGTTGGGTTGACAGAGGATGAAGTTGTCCTGAGCACCCAAGCCAAGGGCAAGGAAGTCCGCCTGCATTTCCCCCGGACCGGGTTCCGCATCAAAGCAGTCACTGGTGGAGGTGCGTCGAAACTGTGATGAAGAAGACGATAGTCGTTCCACAGATGCAATACATTCCACTGCCCTTGTCTATCCCTGAGCAAACGACGCATATGACAGTCTTGCCGCCCGAGTAGCGCACGTATCGGCACGTTCAAACCAAAGCCCCCCTGAGGCGGAAGCCAACCTATGTGTCACAATATTTTGAAATTGGGCTCTCAAACCGTCAAAAAGGTCTCAGTGGCCCTTTGCGAGGCGGACCCTGCTCTCTCCATCTTATTCCGTGTTTGCTTCTGTGGAGCTGGATGTTGAAGTCAACCTTCTTTGTGCCTCACTGGACTGAAAAGTGGTATTTCGGAGGGACAGGGTAGATATTCCAACCTTCGATAGATCTAAAAGGGGTGTTTGCCAACTTCCTAGCTTTTAAACCCCCAGGTTTCCTCCTAACTCTCGACATCTTTCGATAGGGTCGACGGAAGAGTCGGTTGGCTCGTCGACATGGGACTAAAATGCACTGAGACGGTGAGCACGTCGGGCATCGAGACACTTGGTCTCCTCACCTCATGGTCAATAAGCTTTGTGCAATTCGGAGAAAATGTGACATGTCACACATGCAACAGCGCAAAAGACTCGGTAGATGCCCAACCCATGATAGATTTGCGGTGGCCAATTGCAGGCTCATGCAGGCTCATTGCGGCCTTTCTTGGCTGGTCAGACATGCACGGAGACGCGACGCCGTCTGTCTTGCTGCCCAACGGGAGACCATTGGTTGGATATCGAGTCCCAGCTGGCATGTTTGGGGGTTGTCTGAGCTCACCGGTGTCACTAGGCTGAGCTTTTTCGGGTCATCTGCACTGATAAAATCCCGTCTAAGGAATCGACAGACCGGTAAGCTCCAAGGCATCTGCAAGCCTCCCACGCGCGGGCCTCGCTTGTCCATGTCCACCACGGGGGTCCATGGCAGGGTTACAAAAGGTGGATAATACAACGAGCGAAGGATACTGGGTTGATTCGATGAGCCTGGGAAGGTCGCTAATGCTCTCATCAAAGGGAGTCAAGAGAAGATGGAGAGGCGAGGATGACCGAGACGACATCGAGGAAACTTCAGTAGAACTCTTCTTTGTCCCCTATCTCGTTCTGGAAGCCGATGGAACGCAAAAGGTCTGTCTGCGCACCTTCTGAGAAAGTACCGTAAGTTGGGGTATACCAAAGGTACGGGCTATGTACTGCTCACTTGCAAGGTCCTTTTGATAAGCCGTCGGCTACGCGTTTTGTCTGTTGTTTTGTCTGTTGTTTTGCCTGCGAATTGAAAACATCTCGTTCATTCGAAGATTTCTATTTGGTGGCTAGAATGCCACCTTCTCTTCTCCGCTAGACTGGGTGCCTGTTGATCGACGGAATGTAGTACTACAAGTATGATCATGATCATCATCCCACTTCAACTGCGTCTCGCGTTTCAGGACCTGGCCAGATGTCGGGCTGACTCGATGCTCGCTTTTCCCTCTTTTGCCATCTGGATTATGATGCAGCAGTACGCGCAGACTAGATGAGGGAAGAAACGACGATTGTCGGAGGCGTTTTGTTTTCATCCTTGTACACTCTGGGCCATGGATCAGCTGGCTGCTGTCGTTACCCGACCACCGACCTACATGCCTAGATAGCTACTGGACACCCCGTAGGTACCTCCCTAGGTGATGCAGGAGGCTGTCTACGAGTAAGGACACCTGTAACTTGGGTACCCCAAGCTGCTTATTTGGATTGGGCGGCTGTACAAGGGCCGGCCCCGCGCCACGATTGGGTGACCGTCCCTCGCTTGAGCCACTTACCCGTCGTGCCCGTGCAACATCCTGCCCTTCTGGCATCTGCCCAAAAGCCGCTTGGTGTCAGTTCTGCCTGCGCACACAACTCGCCCACCCCCATCTCCCCTTCTCTTCTATCTTTCCCTTTTCTCAAACCTCAGTCAACCAGCAAAATCCCGTCCCTTTCTATCGTCACCTTTTCCTCCGTCCGATTAATCACATCGCCCACTCCTTTCCCCCCCCAGGCCATACCCATCCATTGGATCTCAATCTCTACGGACTCCTTGGACTTGTCTATCCCGGTGGATTTTGATTACCCAGGAGTTGTCTTAGCCCACAAAGGAACCTGACCAACGCAATCCCGTCGCTTATCCTCAAAACAGTTCTCCTGGCCACTTTCCTTCCCATTTGTCTGATCCCGCCTTTATTGCTGCCCAACGGAACAGGGATTTCGCTCTCGCGCACCCGGAGGCCATTTATATTCGCGGCCGCCAACATGTCCTCTCGTTATGATGATCGAGACTACCGCGGTGGCGAGCCTCGTCGAAGAGAACGAGACCGTGAGCGTGACCCCCGCGAGCGTGTTGAACCTACAGCCCGAGAAAGAAGGATAATAGACGACCACCACCCCGAACGAAGAGAAAGAGACACTCCAATGTCTGATGTCATGGACATTGGTATTGACCGCCGTATGGAAGTCCGTCCGGACCCCAGGATGGAGCGCATGGATATCGCAAGAGACCCAACAAGGGCCAACACTGCCAGGAGCATCGATCCCATCCGGTCGGAACGAACCGTGGACAGCCGTAGTGTCGAGCCACCTGAAAGAATGTATACAGATCCCGCCACTGGAATATCGACAATGTACCGCCAAGTGCCCCAGAGCAGATATCCCCGTGAAGACCGTGATTACCTTGATCCTGTTCCTCCCAGTCGTCGTATACCAATGGACGCAACCATGAGGGATGAACCCTCAAGGCCACAACTTCAACTCTCCGAGTTCTGGTGCCCAGGAGAAGGGATCGAACGAGAAGTGATCCAACATGAAATTTGCAAATTCCTTGGCCAGGATGCCACATGTCGTCCCGGCGTCGATAATCGAGTATGCTACCTCAAAAATAGGTTGTTCCATGGTAAGTGTGTTTGCTAACAAGTATCGTTAGGGACGTCCGGGTTACTGGGTCAGAGCATATCGCGCACTTACGACGGTACGAACTCCGGTTACCCTTTGTGCCCTCCCTGACAAGAGAATCCCATACTGACCGCACCACGGCTAGGCGATGGAGCAGAGCCTCCGCGATGAATCTGAGAGATGGCTACGCGAAAAAGATCGAAGGCGACGACAGGGTGAAACCCGAGGTATGGGCCGTACGACACCTCCAGCAATCGAGTCTAAGGCTCGGGCAGGTTCCTATGCCGACTTGGCAGATTCGCAAGAAAGGACCCAAGACCGCAGGCGCTTCCCACAACCTGGAGATATGGACCTTGACGAGGATGATTATCGTGCGCCCCTCAGGCATCGTGAACCCCGTGAGCGTGAGCGTGAACGTGAGCGTGACCTGGAACCTCCTCGCCCAGTGGCCACTGGCCGTATCCCAGTCACTACTGGCTATCCTCCGGAACCTGGATATACTCAATATGCCATTTCTTCTCAACCGTCAGGATACCCTCCGGGCCAACCGGCATACTACGGAGTAGAAAGAGAACCAAGGACTTTGCATGGCGGCAATACGACGCCACCAACATCAGCCATTAGCCGAGCCGCACCATCAGCTGGCTATCCCCCGGCCGGATACCCAGCAAGGACAGCACCTTCTGTCACCCAGTCGATATCCGCATCTTATGATGGGCGAGGGAGGGACCTGATGGGTGGTCCGTACCCCCCCGGCTACCCAGAGACACGTACCACCAGAAGATGACCGTCATCTTGCTTGTGACCTTTGCATACAGCATATGTCCCTGGATAATGTTATGCCTACGCAGGAGCTCCCCAAAAGCCGGGATCCAGATTTCAAAAGCCCCTACATTCTTGCCTGGCCATACCGCAGGCCTTGGATCAAGCCAGGCCACCTGGATTGCAATTGCACTGTTCTTGTTATGCCCAGATTGACATGACGACTTGTGCCGTGGGAATACAACCGGATTGTTACATCGGCGCTTATGAGGCCACGAACTCTTGGGAGGTTTCAGGGGCAACACAGTTTGCGCGGTCTATGATTACAGAGCGATACCAATCAGCGCATCACTTAAATGGAGTCGGGCTTTTCTGTCCACCTTCTTCCCCCATGGATTCTGGAGGCGTATTGAAAAATTACAGGAAATGGATTTTCTCCCCAAAGATTGATAACCGTCATGGCAAAACCCGGTCTTACGATTCAGGAAATGGTGGCATCGGGCCTTGGACAGGCGTGTTGGAGATGAATATTTGGATCTTGAAAGGTGTTTTTGTTTGACCTATCGAGACTGATGAACAACAACTAATAGCAACGACACCTTATACCACTGGCGTGTCACTGAGGCTTTGCTCCGGATGACTTGTATTGTTGCTTCCTGACGTGATTCTGGTTGACCTGGATGGCCCTATCTCATCATCGCCGCTGGATATTCCTGGTGGTATCAAACAATGACTTGACCCTCGGTTCTGCGGGCTCAGTCCGTTCTGACACCTCGACGCTCGCCCCTTTGATTGAATCGGCCACCATATACTTGTATCCTGAACCCGCTCCTGCTCCTGAGAAGACATTCCTGGGACCAACTCTTGAAAGCAGACCACACTGCAAGGAGTGAACTGTTCCTGGAGGTTACCCAGCCCGCATCCATCTCATGCACCATGTTTGTCTTTGACGTCGTCTTCCATCCGTGTAGCTGTTCTTCCCGTCTTCATCGAGATCCTGGATGCATGGCACCCGTTGTTTTCATCTGAACTGCATCTCTCTTGCTCATCGTGTCCAGGTCCATCCACAGTTCCGTGGCTGAGGTTCGAGGAGGGAATGGGATGTTGGGGTACGTCGATGGGACACCCCTTTTCTAGACTCGGTCTCGTCGTCGAAAAAACGTGGATTGAGGTCAGTGGTAGCTGCTATTTCATCGTTGCAGACGCCACAGGTGAGGTCGTTGTGAGAACGCCAAGTTCATTTCACATGCTCAGCGTGCACTTGATCGAGAAGTTGTCACTCGTGCCACATGACGGTGTTGCCTCGCCAGAACCTCATGTCACCACTGGATGTAATTCACTCGTGGGAGGCAATCCTTGTGAAGAACTCTCTGTTCTTATTTCTTCCATTTCACCTTCATTCCTCTATCTAACGACTTCCTCCTCCTCCTTCATTACCTGAAAGGGTGTACACCTCTTCCGCTATCTCGACCACTCCTTGCGATACCGCCGACAATTCCCTTGCCGCTGTCAAGATGGCATCTCCGGCCAAATCTGATTTCCCCAAGTTTGTGGATGGGGATGTCCTCATCGTCATCTCACCAACTCAAGTCTACAAGCTCCACTCTCAAGTTGTCGCCACTCATTCCTCTCTTTTCGCCGAGCAGATTGCCTCCAAGCCAGGACCTCGCCTTAATGCACAGGCTCGCCGCGAGAATGCGGCCGCGTACCGTTTCGAATTCAAGCGGGCTGTGGCGGACAATGAGTTTGGCGGATTCGTCCGTGTGGTAAACAGGTCCCCCTCAAATTGAAAATGTCCCCAAAGACCAGAGGCTGATGAAGTGTACCACAGGAGATCAACGAGTCTGGACGGGTTGTTGGCCCTAGCATGAATCTTCTGATGCCAGACTTCGAAAATGGAAAAGCCACCGACAACTCCAACCGTGCATGGGATTGGCTCTTTGGCATCTTCTACAACCGTGACCCTGTCTTCGATGACAGCAGCTTGGCCAATCTGCTCTCCTGTGTTGTTGCTCTCATTCAGTGTGCGGAATCTGTGAGCTCACTTGAACACGTCCGCGATGTGGTGGACCTAGCGTTGATGCGTCAAGACACTGTCCTTTGGACTTCTATCTTGGGTAACCCACACGCCTGGCTTGAGCTTGGTCGTCGCGTTCAGTCCCCTACTATCTACAGCGAAGCAGCTATCCATTTGATCGGCCAGTGGGGATCCATCACCGAAGAGGAGAAGAATCGCATCAGTGAAGATATCCGTGTCATCTTGGATCGCAAGGCAACTGAACTTGCTCTCGTCAAAGAGGCCATTGAGCTGCGCATGCTAGGTCACTACCCGGAGTTTATGCGCCGTACTGCAGCCGACAAACCTGGTCGACCCTCATATTCCAGCGACATCTACATGTGGATGGCAGTTTGCTTTTTCCGACAGTGGTTCTCTCAAAACATCTCTGACGATCGCACCCGACGCGCACCTGACGGAGGCCTGAACTTCTACACCTCACTCCACGAAGGTGGTCCAGCCTATCTCAACCACATGGACTTCCAGGAGTTCCATAAATATTTCCCGATGAGTATCAAGGCGTGTCATGTGCTCGAGGCGAACATGGGTGTCCTCAAGGAAGACATCAAGCGATTCGTGGAGGATCTCATGGTTGAACGCACCCACTTGAAGAGAGACCAGCATGAGATCTACTGGTTGACATGTGCAACGATCGAAAAGGGGGATATGCCATGGTACACCCCAGATTCGACCGCGAAATCAACCGATGCATTACAAAGCATGTACGACGACATGGAAGACGATATGGCAGACCATTTGCACCATGGTGTGGACGACGACGATGTGGAAGACGAGCTCGACCACGACATACAGGGACAGAACATGATGCAGATGTGGGCTAATGCCAACAGCGGTACTAAACGCACGAGCCGCAACGACAATCACGCTCGCACTCGTGCAACACCAAAGAAGCGTGCTAGCCTTGCCGATTACGATAGCGCCAACGACTCCGACTTGGACGAAGAGTCTTCAGATGAGATGTTCGTGAGAGAAGCTGCGCCTGACTTGATGGAGGAGTGATCAACTCTGGTGCGATATGCGAGCGTCAGCCTTGTGAACGGGTTTTTTTTTTTGGAAATCGCGGCGGCACCCCGGACGTGAAGTAGATACACCATAGTGTGATAGCTAGACGCGACAGGTATCTGCCCAGACCGCGACATAGGATTTCTCCTTCGCGCACAATTGAATTCTACTTTGTGTATAACGGCGTCTCTACTTCGCGCACAATGACATACTATATACATGGGTATATAAGGGGCAGGTCTAGATCGCGACATGGAGTCTCTCCTTCACGCACAATAGCATACCTACCTACTTTGTGTACAGCCCATAGAGACATTGACGCGGACAGGGTCCACCTGGCTCGCGACATGGTATCTCTATTTCGGGCACAATGGGAAATCATCTCCTTCATGTTCAAGACCTATACACAACCTTGACGCGGACAGGGCATACATACCACAATAGCGATATAGATTCCGCGCTTCGCGCACAAAGTGAAAATAATATAGACGCGGCTGGGGTGCATCTAAATCGCGACGTCTGATTCTATACTTCGCGTGCAAGGACATATAGTATGGATGTGGACAGGGTATACCTGAATCGCAGTACAGGATTTCCGCTTCGCGCACAAGGTCATATAGAATAGACGTAGATGGAGTGAGTCTGAATCACGAACTGGGATTTTGTACTTCGTGCACAGGAACACACAGAATCAACAAAGGAGGTTTGAGGTAGGACCATATCCCGGGATTTTGACTTTGCGCATAAGAACATATGAAGTAGACGCCACAAGGGCCAGCTAGGACACCACCACACATGATTGAACGAGGCGCCAACTTGGTAAACGTTCTGTTGTGTGGTCATAATTGATTGGTGCAGGGTTGCCGGCTATGTACAATGCTTGGGCTATCATCGCTTTCTCTGCTATTCGCATATTCAGCGCCATGGGTGTTGAGCGCCCGATGTCTCGGTAGGCTGGTTCTCTCATTCCGGGTCGTCGAAGCCACTTGGTATCTTTCTTGGTCCGCTCGGTACTAGATAGAGAAACATGTCAGCCAATCTCGTTCTCTCAGTGCTGTTCCGCGTGGTGCGTTTGCATTCTCAAAAGCCAGGTCTGACCACCAGCGAATCATCCAATATCACGAGTCGCTCGAACCAGAGCTGGCAGATATTTCTTCCATGGTGTGATTCTTTGCTCCCCCTCTTCTTCCGAAGACGGAATCCAGGCCAGCCCCCAAACATCAAAGTTTATACCCAGCGAACATAGATCTCATGGACGGTATGCTTACCGGGATAAGTCAGAGGAATTCTCGGCGGATCCTGATCACCAAAGTATCTCCTCAGCGGCGGGATGAAGACAAATGTCGCAGGTCCCATGCCACCGATCACGCAGCTCCAGAATATTGCCGGCTTTTCATGGGCTGCCCACCGCAGATACCGAATAGGTTGACCCCAGAAGCGTTGAGGTATGCCGGACATTGTTGCTTTATGAGAGGATGTATGAGGGCCTTGAGTGCTCAAAGGAGGAGAAAGGAGTCGGCAAACTTGGAGGAGAGAGGTTGTATCGGGTTCGACAACTTGGTGACCAGGGTGTACAGGATGCAAGCTTTCGTTGCTTCGGAGGAGTCGAGCTATAAAGATCGGGTTGTCTAGCTCTGCGAGCTCGATTCGGGTTCAAGATGGAAGCGGCTCGTTAAGGATAGCAGTAGCCGATATGGTCACCGAAGACGGTCTCGTTGTTTTGCCCTGCGTCGGGCTCAATTGGCAGTTGTCTGAGGGGGGAACATGCGAGAGTTGAAGCTCAGATGAAGTCCCGAATGCAGCCTTGGCATCTACCGCGGAGCATTTGACGAGGCTGTGACAAGGCTGACGAGAAGATTAATTGACCACGTCTCCGCAGCACGCAAAGTCATTGGGGGGGTGTGCGCAGCTACAGTACTCACCTCTCGATGAACGCCCCTGCTTAAGCACGGGAACCCGGTCGGTCCATCTTGTCTTCTCTCAAGATGCGGCTCTTTTCTTCAGTCTGCCTTCTCCTCCTGCCGCTGCTGAGCGCCGTGTTGGCCAAAAGCGCTGTGGGAGACAGAGTCCTGGTTGTTCTCGAAGATGAATCGCAAAAGGGACTCTACTCGCAGTTCTGGGCTGATCTAGAAGGTATGTTCCCTCAACCCCTCGACTGGCAGGAGTGGGCGACTAATTTCATCTCATCAATCAGGGCGTGACTATAAACTGTCTTTCCAGTCCCCCAGGAGCGAGGATCTCTCACTCTTCAGACATGGTCAACTCGCTTATGACCATTTACTCCTCACACCTCCCAAGTCGAAAGGTAACGAGCGCAGCCCGCAGCTCTGGTTTGCTTCGCCTTATACTGAGAATAAACAGGCTACGGTCCAGCCCTGACTCCCAAGATACTGCTCGACTATGTCAATGCAGGTGGAAACGTCTTGCTTGGTCTATCCTCCGATGCGGGCACGCCTTCCGCCATCTCCTCCCTCCTACTCGAGTTTGATATTTCGTTGTCGCCCGATAAGTCCTCGGTGGTGGTCGACCATTTCAACTACGACACAGTTTCCGCGGCCGAAAAGCACGATATTCTACTGGTAGAACGCCCCGGACAATTGAGACCTGATGTTGTCAACTTCTTTGGTGGTGATGGCACCCTAGTTGTGCCTAAAGCAGTCGGGCAGACGCTGGGGAACACCAGTCCTCTATTGGCGCCTATCTTGAAAGCACCTGCCACTGCATATGCATATAATCCGAAAGACGAGGGTGAGAGCGTGGAAGAGCCGTTCGCAACAGGCTCGCAGTTGGCACTCGTGTCCGCAATGCAAGCCCGCAACTCTGCAAGGTTCACAGTCCTCGGCTCGCTGGAAATGCTCCAAGACAAGTGGTTTGATGCTTCGGTAACATCACCAAACGGAAAGAGTGTAAAGACAGTAAACCAGGAATTTGCGAAGCAATTGACCGAGTGGACCTTCCAGGAGGTAGGCGTTCTCAAGGTCTTCCATATCCAACACTACGAGGTCAGGCAATCTACCACAGCTGGTGAGAATACAACGCAAATCAGCGAGTACGACCCGGATATCTATCGGATCAAGAATGACGTGGTAGGTGTCTTTGTGACGAATCTGTCCGGTGGTCCTTCCACTGACTGAGATTTCTCTAGAAATTCTCCATTGAAATCGGCCAATACGACCGAACACACTACGTCCCCTTCACCGTCCCCGCCAACGATGCCCTGCAACTCGAATTCACCATGCTCTCGCCCTTCCACCGGATTCCGCTCCAGCCAACCTCAACCACACCCAACAGCACCGTGTTTAGCACGACCTTTACAACCCCCGACCAACACGGCATCTTCGCGTTCAAGGTCAACTACAAGCGGCCCTTCCTGACCTACATCGAGGAGAAGAGACAGGTCACCGTCAGACACTTTGCTCACGACGAGTGGCCGCGAAGCTGGGCCATCAGCGGCGCGTGGCCGTGGATCGGGGGCCTGTGGAGCGTCGTCCTGGGTTTCGTCGCCTTTGTCATGGTGTGGCTGTACTGCGAGCCGCCAAAGGAGGAGGCCGAGCGGCGGAGGAAGCTGAGTGTCAGCAGCACTCCGAGGTGAACAGGGCGAGGATGATCCTGTGCCGAAGGCCCGTTAGGGGTCCTGGTTTATGGTGCGTCTCCACGGTGTGGAGGAAAAAAAAGAATGTCATGTATTCTATGGGCTTCATCGACGGATTGGTAAGGAGCATATAAAGGGCGACTTTCTAGATTAAAAAGAAAAGCTTCCAAATGAAAAAAAGGCGATCAATTCAGAAATGGTCTCTCTTGTGGTTTAATGCTTTTGTACCGTGACTTGTGTCACCCATATTTATTGTACATGCTTTGCCTGACTGGAGGTCCGATATTTACAGCTTGACCTCCTCTTCTGGCGCCAGTAGTGATTTGACGGCAAGCTATACGTGCTATTGCTGCGTGATTCGCGATGTAGTTCAGCACTTTCCATAGAGGGCGATGCTGCACTGGTGGGAGGAGATCCCAGTACTTTTCACGCGAAGAGTGGAGAGTATGCGGCGGCAACGTCTCTTGTTCGCTGGCCGCGTCTTGAAGTCTAGTTTGACTGCTCTGTCTTTGCCTCGTAGCACTCGGATAAGTTCGCAGCTGCGTAGTCGAGCCGAGTCCTTGTTGCTGTTCAAGTCGAGGTCAGTTGGGGATCGTGAAGCTGTACGAGTTGCTTCGCGAGAAATGATACAGCGCGGCTCTCTTGGTCGGCTTCGGCTGATCGGCTCTTGTTCACGACCCGGCCTGGCCACCGATCGTGTCTGCCGCAAGGGTTCTGGCGTCGCACCAACAGAAAGGCTCTGCCCCCGGTGTCTGGCGGAGAGTGAGAGGGCATCTCGCCCCTCAAGACACGGTGGTCCCCGTGCAAGCACGTCTGCGACATCCTTGACATGTCCGCAAGTGCTTTCGACGGGAAGACAGCAGTGCGAGTCGTCCGGTGTCGAATGCGGAGCTGGATCCCCAGAACTTCCTTACAGCCCCCTCGTCTTGCTCTCGTCAAACCCCAGTCCCTCGACCTCCCCTTTCTGGCCCTTGCCCATCTGCTCGCGGACATCGAATGCCGGCCGTCCAGCGTACAGCTGGCCCTTGAGCCCCCCGCCCGGCGCGCCCTCGACCTTCCTCCCACTCCCGTCGCCACCCTCGAGTTCCAGGCTCGTGGAGATGGGCGCGTTGCCCCGGAATCGTTTCCTCATGTCCACCAGTCCGCGCCGGCATTCGCGGAACCCGATCTTGAGCTGTTGGCACTGCTCCGGGAGGGTCTCGAGCAGCGGGTGGGAGAGGCATTGGAGGGGGGTGTGTCGCTGGACGAGGATGCAGTCGCTGTTCTGGAGGCATTGGGCCAGCGCGTCACCTGTCGACCAGGGAGAAGAAGGGTTAGCCACAGATCATCTATTTCGCTGGTAAAGGAGCAGAGCTGCAGTGCCCGGACAAGGAATTTGTCTGGCGAGGTGCACTGCAGCAGCATGTACAGTGGTGGTGGCGGGACAGGACGTACGGATGTCTTTACACGAGGATGGCATTTTCGTGTACAAAACGCTAGGTAAGGCTGTAGGGACAAATGAAGTATATGGAACGAAACAAGTATCGGTTGATAAACTTCTTTCGTGTAAAGAACAATCGCACAGGAAATGCTACAGAGCTAGGAGCTGAGCAGTCGCGCAGTATGAGCATCACTTGATTTTGGGGAATCGCAAAATGTTTCTCCAAGATGCGGGCCCCGGAACACTTGCCTCTTTCGAGAAATATCAGGGGGCGCCGACGAGGCTGCAGCCTTGTGTGTGTTTCCAGATGAGGCTCTCTGCTTCCTATCGCGACAATGCGATATCTGGCGGGCAGGAATAAGTCCTCGTCATGTCCTGGTCATGTCCTCGTATCGTAGCAGTCGTGAGCATCACCATCAAGTAGATCATATCGCCGTAGAGTATTAGAGACATGAGGTGTAATCACCTTCACCCGCGCGGCATCGATCCATCCTCGAGGTGAACTTCACGACAATCAGTCACTCAGTCTTGCCAAGGGTACACCTCGACGACCATGTGAACTCCCAGATTTCACCTACCACCGGCTCCACTTTTTCCAGGCCAGAAAAATCACAAATATAAATGATCACAATCGCCAAAATTTCCCAACAATTAGTCCAAGTCGGAAGAAGTCCCTTGCAGCAGTAATGAGACCCCTCACTCTACGCTTCGAACACGCACCCCCCCAGCCCTTTCGGGCCCCATGGTTGAACCATGGGGCCCGAAAGGGGGAAAGGGGACTATTTGTTCCGGGTTCAGTGTATCACGGTCTGGTTGGTGGGGCCTTTCCCTAGACATGAGTTTGCTGTCGGCTTTACCCATACACATTCTCTCACCTCGCAAACCTCTCTCTCCTCCTTTCTGGAGGAGATAAGGGGGGAGCACGTGGGAGAATGTGGGTAAAGAGTAGGCAAAAGAGGGGGGTCTCGCTCATGTCGATCAAATACCGTCAATGACTGGTGCCAGCGGTGGTGCCATGAGACGGGGCTGAGTGGCTGTTGTAAGATTGCTCGATGAACCCTCTCCACCGGGGAGAGGATAGGAGCCGCAACACCCACGATGAAGCCTACGGGAAAGGTTACACGATAGACCAATCGTGGAACTGAACTTTTTGTCATTTCAAAGAAGTAACAATCACTTCTTTTTTTTTTTTTTTTTGTGGGCGAGGGATATAGCGTGGAGGAGGAAGAAGGGAAGACTTCTTTCCCTGGTGACTAACTTCTCCCCTATTTAGAAGGGGACGCTGAAAAAGTCTCACTGTTTATCCACCCCGGCTTCAACTTCTTGAATCTTCAACTCCAGCTCCTGGTCCCGTATAGGCTTCTCGATGGTCATGGTCGTGACGGTCCAGACTGTTGGCAAGACAACCACCAACGACCCCATCGACAAACCCCAGTTCATCCCCAGCTGCGTCATCGGACTCTTGTGCAACGCATTAATCCTCCAAGCCATGGCCCCGCCAGTTGCCTGGAAGGTCTTGTAGGCGCCAACAAGAATGGCAGCCCGTGAGGTCGAGTTCGACTCAGTGCCAATGAGCCAATAACAGAACCCTTGCCACAGCGCGTCATACGCCCCATAGAAGATGTACAGAAATATCGGACCAGTCGACAGGGAGCCCTGGGTGTAGTCAATGTCCTGCTTGAAGCCGGCCGCGAGGCGTCGGTCTTGCCATTTCTGAAACGCATATCCTCCACCCCAGATAGACATGCCGGTGACAAAGAGCACCACCCACCCGACGCGGGCTCTCATGGGTCGGGAGAGGAACGGAAGGTCGAGCAGCACGCCTATCAGGAGACCACCAATCATCTGTGCAATCCAGTACAAGGCTCCATTGAGGGAACGGGTTCGAATGTTGAAGGTCATGCCATTGACTTGGTTCTGCTGGTACGAGTAAAAGACGTTGGCGCAGAAGAACAGCGGCAGCATGCAGAAGACGCGCCAGCTGGCCATGGTGCGCACCGCAATCTCGATGGTGGCCTTCCACGAGTGCTTCTCGCTTTCGACAGCAGCGTGGAGCTGTGCCAGACGGATCCGCCTGGGTGAACAAATAAACAAGCCCAACACCCAGCCGAAGAGCATGATGATCATCAAGGCGATATAGGTCGAGTCCGAAACGGTGCCAGATTTGGAGTGGAAGTTGAGACCAAAGGATGCGAGGCTGCCCACTCCGCCCCCGAGATTAAAGACGATCCAGAAGACGGCAATGGCACGGCCTTTCTGAGACTCTGCAACATAAGTGGTCATCTGCCAATCCCTGTTAGCTTGTACGCTTGTGCTAAGAAAGAGGCAGCCATCATGGTAATGGCCCTGTCGAGAGGGGATGCATCTCAAAGGAAAAGAGGGAAGCCCACAATAGCACCCTGGACCACCCAAAGCATCGAGGCTCCAACGCCCAGGATAGCGCCCGAGGCAATGACGAACGCACCGTTGTCATGATCTGCCTACTATTAGCAAAGCACCTTCACAATTCCAAATGATCCTCACGGTTGAAATTGAGCAAGCTACCGCTGTACAGGGCATACGTCCAGCCACCCAGCAAGAAGCAAATCCGAGGCCCTGTGTACGAGAAGAGAGGACCAACGATGAACAAGGCTGTACCAGCGGTTGCGGAAAGGAGCGCGACGGTAGCGTTGGCGGCCACTGTATTGGTTGGTCAATGTTGAACAACTCTTTGGAGATCAACTGTCTGTTCTAAATACCTGTCGGATCAACCTGTCCAGAACCCCCCAGACCACCAAGCGCATTGTACATCTGTTGGTAAGGTCAGCATGGTTCCACCATCGACTCAGTAGCTTGTAAGAACTCACCCCAGGGCAACAGAAGCATATCAGACTGATGAGCAAGATCTGAGTCCATGGATGCGCATAGAAAGACTTGACGGACGAGAAGCGGGATCCATCCGCTCGCTCGACATTGTCTTGGTGCAGTTCAACCGGCTGCGGCGCCTGTGTCTCCTCTTGGTTGACCATGATGAAGGCCCGTGGTCACAAATGGATCTGTTGGGGGAAGTGCACAGACGCGCTGCTCGATGGGCAACGCCCATATAAGGAGCAGCATACTTCATCCGTGGTAGATTAGCGACATCGTCGGTTACCACCCAGATATCTCTCGTCGCGAAGGATACCGTTACATTGACTACTCGCTCTCCACATTCCCCCGACTCTGGATTAGCCTTTGATAAAGCTTTTGTCGATGCGAAAGGCTTGACTGGTGGAGGTCGTTTGCCTCCTTGGGGTGAGATCAACAGTCAGCGGAGGCGCAATTCCTTTGGGGGTCGCGTGCCCGCTGATCTCCACTTGAGCCTTTCAAGGCGTTTTGGCCGTTTGTGCGGGAAATGTACCCCGTAGGTAAGAAGGCTGGAGTCCTTTATGCAGCGTCGTCGTTCTCCGCAGGCTCTTCAAGTTGCGCTATCGACCTTGAAGTTACATTGGGGATGACTGTCTGTAGCAATTCATTATTAAATGAGATTGAAATCACACCAGGTGCAAGTGGATCTTCCAAGGCCGAACGAATATGGTAGGATTTTGGCAGATTGGAAAGGAAGAGAAGATGTCTTCAGCTGATGGTTGTAATCTTCCAGACAGGGCGTGGCTTGTATCTTCACGTCTTTCTCAAGGTGCTAACAGCGGCGAACGACCTGAGTGAAACGAAGCATGAGGTGAAAAAGGGATAGCAAAATGCCCATGGCGACACCCGAGAACTTGTTCGCGTTGCAGACCGAGCAAAGAAATACGAAGAGTCTCGATATTGACCAGGTTCCGACTCTCGATCTCTGTCAAATCATCAATGCAGAAGACGCCACTGTTTCGGAGGCAGTATCGAAATGTATTCCTGTCATCGCGGCCGCCATTGATTGCTTAGCTGCAAGAGTCCAGTCTGGTGGCAGAGTGATATATGTTGGTGCTGGAACCAGCGGAAGGTAATGGCAATGGCACCGCTATCCACGACGAGGAGATTCCGTAACTGACTGTGATTTGGATGTATGTAGGCTGGGTGTTTTGGACGCTTCCGAGATTCCACCCACTTATTCTGCTCCAGAGGGCCAGTTTGTCGGCATCATCGCTGGTGGAGATGCGGCCCTTCGACATGCACAAGAAGGTGCAGAAGACGATCTTGCTGCCGCAGTCCAAGATCTGAAAGCACTCCAATTGACTGGCGCGGTTGACTCATTGATCGGTATCGCAGCGTCTGGTCGTACTCCTTATGTATTGAGCTGCCTCTCGTATGCTAAGGGTCTCGGTTGTGCAACGATCGGCGTGGCCTGCGCACGGCCTTCCGCCATGAGTACCAGTGGAGATGTAGACTTCATGATTGATGCCGTTGTCGGCCCTGAAGTCGTTACAGGGAGCACGAGAATGAAAGCCGGTACGGCAACGAAGCTGGTCCTGAACATGCTCAGCACGGGAACGATGATCAAGACCGGGAAGACCTACGGGAATATGGTATGAAGTCAAAGCCCGACTGTTAGTGGTGCTTCTATGACAATATGCTGATCACATCCAGATGGTGGATCTCAGAGCAACCAACTTCAAACTGCAACAACGATCTCGAAACATATTGCGGGCCATCTGTGGCACTCAATGTCCCGACTCGGATGCCGATCTCGATGCTCTTCTCGCCAGCTGCCAGGGCAGTGTCAAGCTCGCCATTGCAACAATAGGCTTGGGAACCTCTGTAGAGGAAGCGAAGCGGCGCTTGGAAGACGCCGGTGGTGTCCTAGCCAATGTCTTGAAGAAGCCTCCTCATGAGTATACGAAGAGTCAGCCAACCGCAGACTCCCGAGCTCCAGAGTATGTTCTTTGCGTTGATGGCGGTGGGAGTAAATGCGCCGCAGTTGTGACCTCTGCAGATGGTCAGATAGGATACGGCGAAGGACCAGGTTGCAATGTAACAGACATTGGTGTCGAATCTGCATTTCAGTCGATATCGTTAGCGATACAAAGAGCATGCGATTCGCACTCCACAGTCAGGGCTGGGCCGTGGACTCCTGACCTTTTCTCGTCCATCTGGATCGCCCTCGCCGGCCATGATCGGAAGGAGGTTGCAGTCACCGTAGACGCCATGATGGAAAAGCTCTTCAAGCGAAGCCTGGGTGCCACCTTGAGGGTTACGAACGACATCGAGTTGCTTGCTGTCTCGGCAGCAGAGAAGAACGAGGCCAGCTCTGCAATTGTGCTCGTTGCAGGAACAGGGTCGATCGCAATGGCTTTTCAACGTCAAGGGAATGGGTTCGTCCGGAGTGGAAGGTCGGGAGGATGGGGTCATCTGCTTGGTGATGATGGCTCGGGCTTTGACATTGGGCGACAGGCTGTCCGCCTGGCACTGTCCGCAGTTGACGAGTTCAACAATCGCAGCCGCAGCCGCAGCCGCAGCCTGGACGACGACAAGCCGTTCGCCCCGACTGCACTCGTTCAACGAATCTTCGACTCCTTCTGCCTCCATGATGCCACCCAGCCGACCTTGGACCTGCTGAGCTCTGTGTTGTCGTCCGCTTCAGAGGTGGAGAAGAAGAAACAGATTGCTCAGGTTGCAGGACTTGTGATCGATGCAAGTGCGGTGGATGTGCAAGCAAAGAATATTGTTCAAAAAGCTGTGAATAGCCTCGTTGGGCTGCTTGATCCCCTCATACGGTCTGGACAAATTGACCTGTCAACATCCAACCTAGTGCTGGCCGGCGGCTTGATGCAGAGTCCCGTCTTTGTGGACGCATTCAAAGAGGCTTTGCATGTCGCCGAGTTCTCCTTCAGAAATATCCAAGTAGTCAACCAGCCAGCGATACTGGGTGCCCACCATTTGCTGCGGATGCAACAAGGCTAGGCTGAGCTCAAGTACATACACAGGATTGATTGCTGTTCAACTTAGAACTACACTATGTACGCTGCTGAAAACACCCTGCCTGCAGTGCATATCCATAACCAACCCTTTGGTGCCCGTACTCCTTCGCAAATCCGCCAAACACATTAAACAATTCATGCCAGGCTCATGTCGAGGGCCTTCCCGGACGCTTGTCGCCTTCATCTCATTTCCATATTCCATGCGTTAGTGTCGCTCCCTCCACACTGGCCCCTCTTCTCACGAGAAATTCTGGGAGAAAAAGGGCATCACCCGTTCCAAACACTTCTTAACCTCCACCGCCTCCTTCTCCATCTTTGTCCGTTGTTCTCGCATCATTTCCACCTGCGCCAACACTTCTCTCTTTTGCGCCGCCAAATCCTCATGCCCTCCCTTCAATCTGTCGTTTTCCTTTCGCAAGTCGGCCTTTTCTCGCTGGTGTCGCTCAATATCTGCCATGATCGCTGATAGCTCGCCTTCTTTTCGACGCAGTGATTCTTCATGCTTTACAGAGGCCTGTGATATGCTCGTGATTTGCTTCCTAAGCTCTTCATTCTGACCCTGGCTTTCTCGGAGCTGCTTCTTCGTGTTGAACAATTCCCCCGTGGCTTGCGACAGTTTGGCCTCGGCGTCCTTGTCAATTTTGGACAATGCTGTCTCGAGCTCCTGTAGTTTGCGCTCTTTGGCGCTCAGTTCGTTGCGTAACGAGCGGACCTGCACATCAAAGTCCTCGGCCTGCCTTCTGTTCTCTTCCGCCCTCTGGGATTCGGCTCGATGAAGTTTCTTTTCCAGATCTTCAGTCGCTCTGTCTCTCTGGGAGAGCTGGCTCTTCAGCGAACGAATCTCCTGTTCCAGGCTTTCAGCAGCCCGATCGCGTTGTGCGACTTGGCTTTTCAGAGATCGAAGTTCGTGCTCAAGGCTAGAAGTGCGACTCTCCTTGTCCTTTTCTGCTTGCTGTAGATTTGACTCGAGTTCAGATATTTTGCGATCCTTCACGCTGAGATTGCTTCGCAACGAACGAAGTTCCTGGCTGATGGTTTCGAGCCTGTCATCATTCTGTGTATGCGACTTCTCCACACTCTCCAGCTCCTCTTCCAGTTTATCGATCTGTCGTTGAAGCTCTTTCTTCTCCGCTTCCAATCTCGTTATGATCTGGCCAGCCTGCAGAACCTGTTCCCGACGAGTGACCAGCTCTTCTTCCGTCTTCTTCTTGCAATCTAATGCTTCATCCAGTTGATCTTCCAGAGCCTCTTGCTCAGCAATCGCCTCTGCCAGCTTCTCACTCAGTTCGCTTTCACGGTACTGCAATCGCTTGAATATTTCCTCTTTATCAAGAGCTAGCGCCCGTTCTGAATCCAGGGTCTGTTGTATCCGGTGAGCTTCAATTTCTGCGCGTCTCCGTTCCTCTTCCACCCGCTGTCTTTCTGCAGCATCCTGCCTCGCCTTTGCTTGCAGTTGCTCGATCTTCTCATCTCGCTTCTTGACTTCACTTGCAGTTCGAGTCGCTCCCAGCAAGGGTTTCATGCGAACAAAAAGCCGCCACCACGGGTTGGCTTGGAGATCAAGATATACGTTGAGATTTCGCTGAATCACCCTTGTTGCTTCCGCGCGGTACAGTTGTTTGAAAGCCAAGCGTCGTTGCATGAAACCTCGAGCAACAGACTGGAAATTGGACATGATCTCTCTGATCAGACTGTCGCGCTGCTCTTCCAGATCGGCCAGAACTCCTGCGCGGAAGAAGACCTTCGTCAAGCCCACGCGATAGTTGGACTGGTCCATTTTGAGTCGATCAAGCATTATCTTTGCGGCTTCCTGGCCCCCAAGATACCCTTTTGGCATGTTCTCGCACAATACCTCGTATCTGGACCGAAATTCTGCAAAAGTCAAACGGTTGGGGAAACCCGTACGTGCAATCCGGATTCCTTCAAGCACACCATTGCACCTCAACTGGTCCAGTACCAGAGGAGCAACAAACTGTTTGGGCTTCTTCTTGTGGTTGGGTAGAATGCAGCGGACGAAATGAGGCTGGGTTGAATGGAGCTGTCTCATCAGGATACTCAATTGTTCTTTGTGTCGTTGCGCCACGGTGCGGAACAGGCCCTTCTTGACTCGACTTCGGGGGCTATATGGCTCGTCGACCTCGTCAACACAGTCGGAAAAGAGGTTCGCAATGTGATCGTCTTTGGAAGCAGCAAGCAGCCGGGTCAGGTTATCGTTCAAAGGGTCCTTGTTCTTTTCCAGCCAGCCTTCGGTTGAATACTCAACTTCTGCAGCATAGTGGGTGAGGATAAATCCCTGCCTCGTTCGAGCAGGAGCATATTTCGTGGTCTTGTTCTCCCACAATGAGTTGAGCTTTTCGGTAAAGGATCTGTCCGTAGCCTTGGGCATGACCGAGTCTTCGTCGAGACAAGAGAAGATTCCAATAGGGTTGGGCAGCTCGATCAAATCGATGGTTGGTTGTAGATCTTTGCCGAAGTCAATGAATTGCCACTCAATCTGCTCACGGGCATATTCCTCCTGCTCCAGAACAAACATATAGTGGTTGAAGAACTGTTGCAGCTTCTCGTTGGTGTAGTTGATACAGAGCTGTTCGAAACTATTCGTCTCAAAAATCTCAAAACCAGCCAGGTCAAGTACTCCGATAAAGTGGCTGTCATCGCTACTGACGCCTCCTCTGTCCAGTTGGTGATTGATTTTCGACACGAGATCTCCAAAGCCACGCTCATAGATGCCTTTGGCCAGAGCATCTAGAGCAAGACGAACTTGCTCCGGGGTCTGGGTTTTCTCCACCCATTCCCGTCCGGCTTTGACTTTCGGATGAAGAAGAGCTTTCACAAACGGGTCTGATTGAACCCCCAGTAATCGACATGCCTTGTCTACCGAACTTCGGGCTTCTGGGGCAAGTGAAGCTTGGTCTCCTGCTCTGCTTTCTTGCCGGACTGCAACATTGCCGAGATGTAAAATAGCGGCAACCGTTCTGAACACGGCCATTTGCTCTTTTTCGGAGAAATTCATGATGTGGAATGCTTCGATCAATGTGTTCCACTCGTCACGATCGGACACACCGCCAATGGTGTCATTACCGGCTCGGGTATATGCGAAGTCCTCGACATCCATGCCTGAAATAAGCAATGAATCTCTCATTCTTTGATCGGCCCCAGCCAGTAACTGATAGAAGACATGATAACTTCGTTCTTGTTGGCTGATCTTGACCACTCGAGACTTTTCGAGCAGATACCAATCTATGAAGGCTCCTGCGATCTGCCCAGACCGAGTAAACTGAATGCGAATGAACTTGCCGAACCTCGAGGAGTTGTTATTTCTGACAGTCTGGGCGTTGCCAAAGGATTCGAGGATCGGATTGGCACGAAGGATTTGCTGAGAGAGATTTGAAAGCTGCTTCCCGGGCGTCCTCCCTGTCAGAGGTGTGTCGAGATCTGAGGTGGCAACCGCAGCGAGGTATTGGATGACCTTCTTCGTATTCTCAGTCTTGCCTGCACCGGACTCCCCCGTCACCAATATGCTCTGATTCTCACCCTCTTCCACCAGCCTGCGGAAGGCGGCATCGGAGACGGCAAAGATATGAGGGCGGGTGTCTTCTCGCGTTTGGCCTTTGTACATCCGGACGTAGTCGTTGCCGTAAATAGGCAAGGGACAATAAGGGTTGATGGTCACCAAGAACAGGCCGGAATATGTATAGATTAAATCAGCCTGATATCGCGTATAGAGGTTGTGAATGACAGAGGCTTCGTTGAGATGGGTGAGCTCTGCCATGTCGTCGGCTTTGTCAAACTTGGCTGGGTTGACCTTATCCACCTCGTCGACATCCGTCTCTATTGATGAACCATTGTCGAACTGCACAAGGACCTTATTTCCAGGAAGATCTTCTGTTATCCATCCCCGAATAAATGCCTTTTCAGGATCTTTGACCCATACGTAGCGCTTGCCAGAGAAGTCATTCTCGCCTTCAATAGCCGAGATTCTATCTTCGCTCTTCCTCATCTCCTCGGACTTGATGAACTTTGGAGCGAAGGTGCTGGAAGTACTTGCCTGTCGCTGGAGAGAGTGCGTGCGGAGGTGGGAGGGAACAGAGCTGAAGGTTGCTGTGGGGGAGTATGATTGCTGACGCTCATGTCTGCTTGTCGATGTCTGTGCAGGTGTCGGGGAGGCAAAGAGGAGGGATTTGCTGAAGCTTGCAGCGGACATGGGAGAAGCCACAGACATGTCGGAATGAACTGATCTGGTAAAAGGTCGTTGAGAATGGCTGTTAAAGGGAGATGTGTCTGGGCTGCGGTCGTGGAGCAGCATGATGCCGCCCAAAATCTCAGGTGTCGGTATATTTCACATGCGACAAGGTTCTATGATTTTAGAAAGTTAGTAAAACTGACGGTGTCCAGGTTGTCAATGTGGGATGAGGGCTGATGATTGTTGTAGCCTCGTCGTGACCCGGATTGGATGACGATGTTTTGTTTGCGGTTCCCCATTTGGCAAGGCGTCCCTGTGCAGAGCAACCGTTCAAGTCACGTGCGAGTACGCCACCTCCTGAACAGTGACGAGGGAGTGGGTGACGGATCGGTACGGCGGGCGACAGAGACCGGAAGGAAATGCACCTTTCGCTGCCAAATAGCCCGCCGTATACAGGATGCCAAGTCGGTCGGCTTGTCTGGACGAAATAGACTGACTTCTGCACTTCGGCCGCCTTCATGTCTGTAGAAGATGAAAGTGTCAACCACAACGACCTGGAACACAACGAGCTCCCCCTTCGGCAACGACCCCTAATCTCAGGGACACATCAGGGCCGTTACTGAACCACGTGAAGAAGTCGGCAGGCATTGTGAGGCAGCAGTAAGAAGGTCGCCGTCTTTTTTTGCGCGTGTCGAAGATTGGTCTCGCAGGCTGTCTCAGTGATGATGATGAGCAGTTTGTTGGAATCACTGCGAGCGTGTCTTTGTGGATTCACCACAGCCTGTCGATGACATCGCCCCTCTTGAATTGCTTTTTGCCGGATCGCAGTCGCCGCGCTGCTGTACGTCGCGGAAATGGCGCATCCATACTCTTCCACCTCGCTGTACCCTGGCACGCCGTCATACGCGCCTCAGCAGTCATACTACCCAGCTTTTCCATCTAATGGACTGCAGCAGACGATAAATACTCCTCCAGGCATTCCTCAGCAGCTGCCACAACCGCAGGGCCAGATCCAGTCGCACTCTTCCTACCAACCACAACCATCACCTGTCACAAATGGCCCACGATTCGATGCCAATTCGCAGATTCGTCCTCCTGCGCCTCCTTTTCATCCGTTTCCCCCTCCTACTACTACCTTCAATTCCGATTTCTTCAAGCAATTTGCCAGTGCGGGTTTCCCGCCTCCACCCCCTCCAAACTTTCCTCCAGTGCCAATTCCAGGTGCTGCGTATCCGCAGCTACCTGGTTCCGTGAATACCTCCACTTCCTCGCCCTATCCTCAACATGTTGCGGCTGGAGCGCCAGGATTTAGCACAAGTATTGGTGGAAATGAACAAACTCGCCAGAGTGCAGGGGATCAATACATCGGTGGCCATACGGGTTCAAGAGGTGGGCTGGATGCGCAGTCAGACCTCCAGTTGTATGGCCCAGCAATGACTATCCAGAATGCAATCTCACACCAGGCACACCCACTTCCCAAAGGGAAAGATTCCGACAAAGGTGAGTATGCCTGTCATAGTCTGGTTCTTTTCTGACTCTGTTACAGAACAGACACTTCCATCTTTTGGCTCTAGATCAGATATCGATATGTTGTTCGCAAATGCTCAAAACCAGGCTATGATCGTTCCGCAACCGAAAGATACGAATAGCACCACTGAGCCTGAGCTGGCTGCAGATGGGAATGTCTCGCGTGAGTGCCAAACTCTGCTGACTCCAGCTCTCGCTAACTTAGTTACAAGCGTATGATCCAACTCGTCCCGCGGCGATTACTGATCGAGCATCAGGTGGCTTTGGGTCCTCTAACAAACCCTCCAAAAGCGCCAGTCTGAGGCCGGTCGAGAGAACTTACGATAATAAGTCCCTTATTGAGCTGCGACAGCTTGCAAAGGGTGCTGTTCTATCCCTTGTCCCTCACAGAATACTCTATGCAGATCTGGTAAAGGAAGGTGTCAATCCACAAATCTTACACGAATTGTATGAAGAACTCGGCCTCAGAACGGAAGCTAGTCAATCACAAGCTCGCGAGGAATTCCGCAGTAAGCAACCTCTTCCTGTTGATGGCAATGAATCATCGACAGCCTTGCAACAGCCGAAGACGGGATCGCAGAATGCTACACCCCTGGTCACCACGGCGCAAGCAGGGGGCGTCAGTGAGACCACAGCACCACCAGCCGCTCCTGATCTCAAGAATCAACAGGCGGGGCTTAGTCCCAGCTTGGAGCGGAAAGATCGCATTGCACAGCTGCTCGCTGCAAAGACGGGTCGTCCGACATCTAACCCTGCATCAGCTACCCCGACCCAACATGAGGCATCTAAAATGACGGCTCCAACGACAGCACTTGTGGAATCGACCGGCACAGCCATGCCTTCTTCCAATCCACAGAACTTCCCGGCGCAGCTACCACAACCTGTCGCGGCCACTCAAGGGACAAGCGGGACGAAACCAAAGGCTCAGACTGAGCTGGTTAAACAGAAAATGGAACAGCTGAGACGCGAAGCGCAGGCAAAGACAGGAGGTACTGCATCGGAAGTTCCTACAGCAGAGTCTGCGGCTCTGGTTCGCGACATGGCTAGCGACGCTTCAAGAGTAATTCCTCTGGCTGAAAATGTGCCTCCATCCTCAGCAACCAGAGTTACCCACTTCGAGAGCCAGGCCCCTGTGCCATCCCTGATCCCGGGATTGTTCATGAGCTCCACCGAACCATCTACCTTGGATGAAGCTACAAGATCAGTGACAGAGGTTCCAATGAGCTCCACAGCAGACGTTAGACAATCGAACGCTGTCTCTGAGAACGAAACCTCTGTTGGTATGCCAGATCTTCAATCGTCTCCCTCTATCCCGACGAAACGCCCCTCCGACTCTGATCCCACGACAATGGGCATCCCACTCCCCAAGAAGCCGAATCTACAACAAAATCTTCTGTATACTCCTTCTTTGCCCCTTCCAGATAGTGACGCCGACTACCAGTCGGAGGGGGAGATTGTCGAAGAGCCTGGGAGCGATGCTATGGCGATGGGATCAGATTCAGAGCAAGATAGCCAGGAGTTTGCGCCAGCTGATCTCCGTCCGAACGCCACCACCTCAATCTTCCATAAGCCAAAGCCCGTCAATCAATCTTCGACAAAGGCGTCGCAAACAGCCTCAACAAATGAATCAGGCAAGGACGAGTTGTATCGTGCCAAACAGACAGAAATTGAAGCTATGCGGCGGAAGATTGCTGAACTGGAGCAGCGGAACAAGCTGAAACGCACCAGAAGTCAAGTCGAATCCCCGTCATCATCAAACCCTCCGACCCCCGCGATTGCCAGAGAGGATCAACAATTGGCCAGTTCACCTGTTCCGCAAACCATTGACCTGCCTGGTATATCCCGGCTTCCGCCGCAGCGGCAGCATTCAGGTCCTTCCGTGATCTCCAAGCTAACTCCAGCACAGCTTCAGGAGAGAGAGGCAGTGTTGAAACAAGCTCTCCTCAGACAGCGTGCTCAACGACAACAAGTGTTACAAGAAGGCTTGCCTGATTTGAATGCGAAAGTCAAAAAGACCGAGACACGACTGGAGGATTCCCGCAGAGAGCTGGTGCAAGTTCGTGCTCAAATACAAAAGATGCGCATGGAACTGGGTCGATTAGTGGCACAGGAGAAGAGACTGGTTGAGGAAGAATCCCAGTTCGAGGAACAATTACAAGAGGGCCGGTCGGGTCAGAAACGATATTCGGATGAGCTGCAGCAGATCAGGCTTGAAAAGCTTGCCGAAGCTCAAGCAGCCCCGGCGGAAGAGGAGTTGGTTGTTTCCAACCCATCGCCCCCGGCGGTTGGCACGATCTCTGAGTTACAGCCAGACTTGAGTAATGGCCATCTTGATGCTCAAGATGAAAATCCGCAGACGCAGCAGGGTTCGCTCAGCATGCCTGTGAATGCTGTTGTGGTGAATGAGAGCGCTGACGACCAGGGTGATGCTAACATGACCGGCGAAGATGTACACGAGTCTCTCTCGCTAGATCTATACAACGCTCCGGATACTTTTCAGGGAGAGCCTGAGCGTGTCGAGCAACTTCAAGCTGATGAGATGGAGATATCGCCCGAACCAGAAGACTATGTTGAAACGCATGAGCACTTACCAGAAAACATGGAGGAGACGCAAACATCCGACGAGGACATGGATGTGGACAACGATAGTGATGGAAGTGCGAGCATGTCTGGTTCGGACGAAGAGGAGTATGAGCCTGCAGACGTCGATACTTCACAGCCTATGCAGCATTCCGAGGACGAGTCTGAGGAATATGACCCTGAGACAGCGCCGGTGGACAGCGTCACGCCGACGACTGTTCCGGAAGACGGGGCTCAAGACTTCCATGAGACTTCAGAGAATGCCGCTGTGAGCAGGCCCGACACAGCGATTGGGACTCCAGTCGATGGAGCACAAGATATCTCGGGCGCCACGGAGTCTGACACCCCTTACATTGAGACAGACACTAACGCCAATGGAGTTGATGCTGTGTCGGAAGTCCCAGCCAACACCAAGGATGATCTCGAATCCGGTGATCAGTTGACTGGTGCTGATACACTGGTTCGACCACCCCCAGGGTCAAATCAAAACCACGATGCTACTCCGCTCCTGGGCGGTACATGCCCACCACCCACGCATTATATACCGTACAAGACACCACTTAGTGCCTTCAAAACCTACCGCTTCCACTCGGACTACCCGGATACCGTCAAAAGTGGCTATCGTTCGTTGACGTACAGCAACAACATCGACCCCTCCCGTCCCCTTTGCCCCACGGAGCTATCTGGTACCCCTTGTACCGACCCTGAATGCGAAGAGCAGCATTTTACTCAGCTTGGGCTTCCTGGTATGTTGATAGCTTTGACTCTCGTCGCGCCTATTTCCTATTCAGACCACCCATGCTAACGATTTTTCCACTGCAGATGAGAAGATTCTCGTCCAAATGAGTTCAGCGAGCGACATCAAAGACAAACCCACACGGGACGAATTCCATGCTGGGTTGAAGCAGGTGATTGCGGGATTGAGGGCTAATGAGGTGAAGGATTTCGAAAAAGTGGCCGATGCTCTTTCTGTGTATCGCCGGAAATTCTTTGCAGAGAGAGAGGAGAGAGAGAGACAAGAGGACGAGGACAGCCAGCCGCAAGCAGACCAAAAAGATCCAGAGCACCAAGAGCAAGAGGTTCTGGGCTCTTAGCGAGCAGTCCTGAAGCAGTGGTGGGGAAACGCCTTTTTCTTTTCCAGGTGATGCTTTCCAGGACGTGATATTCCAGGCATCGAGGGAGGGATGATATGGGGAGACCGCAGCGGCATATGTATGAGTACGAACACACCCAGTGCTGGAAAAAAGGAGTTTTTGGATCAACCATCCAGCACGTCGTGCATCTAGCAAGGAAGGACTAGGACATAGACATGGACGGGAGGCGAACAGTTCGGTCGGTATTGTCTGTGTCTGTCTGTGTAATCATCAAGGTTTTCATTCAGTATCCAGCAGTATCCAGCATCCTCATCCAGTCCCATTGGGATTGAGATTGAGATCATCTGGTCGAGTCCAATACCAAACCAAACCAAACCAAACCAATCTACCTAGGTCCCTGTTTGTCTCAAAAAGGGCATACATACTAGGTTTTAGGACATGCCTACCTACCTACTTACCTACCCAATGGACGGGGCTCGTTGGCTCTTTTCGTTGATTCATTCATGCGTCGGTCACAAGGTCTTGTCATATCTACACAGAGTGACAACGTGAGCCGACCGGGGATGAAGTATAGATTCAATACTCGTTGATTTCAGGTAGACTGCCTGGTTGCCTGGTTGCCTGTCTCTCTGTCTTTGTCTGTCTGCCATGTGTTGCAGGACGCCAGTAACGCCCAGGCACGTTCACTCGTATATAAACAAACAATCCATCCATCAGTCGATTTCGTCAAGCATGCGTCCCACTCTCCGTCTGAATGCCCGTGTGCCCATGTAAGCCAATTCCCCCTTTGCTTCAGTTGTATCATTCACGACATCCGTGCCTCTCATAATCGACGGGTTTCACTCTGCTGCTACCAAAAAAATCATCCACGGTTTCATTCGTCGTCAAAGATGCCGCAGTTCGGGTGGAGGGCGTAGGACAGTCGCTGGTTTTGGGCTGTTGTCGACGGCTCGCCGGTGCCATCCTCGTCTCCTTCGACAAGGCCTTCTCCGCGGATCGGAATGATGATGTTATCCTATAGATCAAATAGTCAGTCACAAGTCCGGAAATTATAGTACAAAACCAGACCAGACCAGGCCAGGGTGTTGGCACAAGTGCATGTCGAAAGAGGGACTCATCACGTACCTTGACCATCTTCTTCAAGACCTTCCTGGCCAGACCTCTCTCGCGCTCCACGTCTTCCTCATTTGCCAACTGGTCTTCGATCTGTTCCAAGTACCACAACAACAATGCGTCGCGCTCGGGACCTTCACCTGTGCGATCTTCCTCATCACGTATCCGTGTTGCTAGCATGGTTTGAATGGTGTTGAATTTCTCAAAGGTGATTTTCGTGGTGGGCCGTGTATTCGCAGCAGGGGTTGCAGATGAGCGGTGATTTCTGGTGCTGGCTTCACCTTGCTGATCATGGTCGCCATCAGCCATGGGACTATCGCCATCTCGTTGGCGCTCTCCATCTTGTGCATTCTGGACCTCCTCTTCATCGTCTTCGACATCGACATCGTCTTTTTCAACACTGATGATCGACTGGCGAAGCAGATCAAACGCCTCGTACACCATAACCTCCGTTATTTCCTCCACACAATTCGCTTTGGCGATTGCTTCACTCAATCTGATCAAACTCTCCAATTGCCTGACAGTGATTCTGTACGAGTTCTTCCCAACCACACCACCCGTATCGTTGGCTCTCAGCTCTTTGTATTTTTCTACCAAGAGCCTCTTAGCACTGGGTGTGAAGATTGGTTTGAACGTGCGCGCAAATCTGATGTACCGCTGAAGCTGTTCAGTGGAGAATTCAGGTTGCACGAAATCATCTTTCAGCATATGCAGATTGACGATGTGGTCGGCCAAGTGACGGTCTACCGACTCGTTGCACTCATCCAGAATGATGAAGAAGAGGTCGAAGCGAGACATGATGGGCGCTGACATGTTGATATTCGCCCTGAGAGTGGCCTTGCGATTGTACCGGCCGCCAATGGGGTTTGCAGCCGCCAAAATACTCGTGCGTGCGTTTAATGTCGCATGGATGCCCGCTTTGGCGATGGAAATGGTTTGCTGTTCCATGGCTTCGTGGATGGCGACCTGGTCGGTCAAGTCCATCTTGTCAAATTCGTCAATACAGCAGGTTCCCGAGTCAGAGAGCATGAGTGCGCCGGCTTCGATGGTGTGTTCGCCGGTCTCTTCATCTTTGACCACCGCGGCTGTCAAACCTGCTGCACTGGATGCTTTTCCCGACGTATAGACTGCTCGGGGAAGGAAAGACGCAATGTACTTGAGGAATTGAGATTTGGACGTTGACGGGTCGCCGACAATGCAAATGTTGATATCACCTCGCAAGGGCATTCCTTCTGGCGTCATTTTCGACACGCCGCCCAACAGCTGCAACAGTAGCCCCTTTTTGACTATTTCATGGCCGTAAACCATGGGAGCGAGACTCTGAACCAGTCTACTGTAGATCTTGTCGGAATGGACCATATATTTCAGATCGTCAATCTCGGCTTGTGTCAGAGTTTCCAGGTATGCCTCCTGAGCCTTGGTACCGCTATCATACTGGTCAAACAGATCAGTTTGGTGTAGGGAGTTCAGGATGTTGGTCGATTGACCATTCAATTGACTGGCGGACTGGCCGGCTGTGGTGGTATCGGGGCTCGAGAACCCGGCCAGAAATGCCATGCGGTAAGTCAGATCTCGAACTCCTAGTGCTTTCAAGCCGGAAACACCTGCACCACCAGCATCGGCGCCACGGAAATTCCGGTTATCCTTGGATGCCTCTGGTTTCACACCTGGAATTCCCAGCTGAGAGACATCTGGCACAACGATCAGAGTGCCTGTGAAGATACACTTCTCACCAGGTTTCGTGCGCTCGACTTGCTCTCCTCGAAGGATGACATCGATTGTGCGTGGCATGCTCCCGGTCGGGATTTCAGAGCTGTTTTCTTGGATTCGACATTTCTGCCAGTCCACAAATGTGCTGTTCCGAATGTCCAATCGCCATGCAATCTTGTTGCCACAAGTGAGGTTGGGGCACACTGTGGGTTCTGTATATTTGAACGTTTGCTCGACATTGGGGACGGTTGTGTTGCATGCTTCGCAGATAAATGTTCCGAGGGCCAACTCAGGACGAACTTCTGATGTTCTCGTCACAGTACCCGAGATAGAAAGCAGTCTTCCGATCTGATCTGTGCGCAGTTGCCGTACCCGGGATACAAGGGGAAGGTTGTAAAATGCCAGGGCGAAGAGTTTGTCCGTCTGTGGATTCAGTGGTTTGTCACCCTGAGTGCTCCCCTCGCTAGTCGCATTGCCTGCCATTGAGGTGCCCGCTTGTGAAGCATTGCTGGTCATCTGACGGTGATCTTTGAAATATATTGGCTCATATTTGGCCAGGAGATTGTGCAACCCCCTGAGTAGAAATGGATGGAAGCGATAGAATTGGTTTGCGATTGCATCTGCTAGAATAGGGCCTTCTTTATACGATAGCAGATGACGAAAATCCACGTAAAGCGTCGAGAGCTGGAACTCTCGCAAGCCATGTATCTGATTAATGTAGTATTTGTCTGTTCTCAGTTCGCTCGAAGGAGGGGCTCCCGACGCCGAGGGTTCTTCGACGTGCGACTCGAGAAAATCTTCAAAGGCCTGTTGTACTTTTTCGCCCGCCTTATCTGTGACTTGTGATACGTTGCGGTCTAAAGGATTCCGTGGTCTGCCGCGCGCTGCGCCGACAACTTCATCGTCTGGGAAGACATCGGCTTCTGAGGGGATGCCATTGCTCTCGGAGAGCAGGGGCTGCGGTCTTGAAGAGGATGGAGTGCCATTCTGAGCTCGTCTAGGTGAGGACGGTGTTGCGCCAAAGGCGTCTGAATTCAGGATTGAGTCCACTAGAGTCGCCATTGTTGTGGTGAGGGGTGTTTGTGGTTGAAGGGGGGACTTGCAAGCCCAAGGGTAGAAGTGTCTCCTTACAAGAAGAATTGGTGCCGCGGGCGCAGGAACGCGTCGCGGCGTCAAAGCGCGTCACGCGTTGCACTTTAATACGGTGGAGCAAAGGTGCTGATATGTAATGCCTCAGCCTTGCCGCAGCCTCGTTCAACCAGCCAGCCAGCCTGCTTCGCTATCAGTCAATCACGGATGTCTATCTCCAACCCATGGTTCCACTTCTTGGACGAGCAAGTCGCTTCAACTATATCAGGTATATCTATGCAAAGTTGTTGCAGCCGGTGAACTCCCCCAGCATTCACAGACAATGTCGCCTAATGTTTATCAGAGTGGTGGAGGGATGTCAGTCTGGATGCGATCACACTCAAACTCCTCATCTTACGGCACAGATGGCAGTACTCAATCAATATCGAGTCATTCTAGGAAAATTGACGTGTCTGACGATCAAATATAGAATTTGTTGTGATTGAATTACTGCTATATCCTCCCTATCCCTTCAAGACAGCAAGGCTTTCGACACGAGAAGTCTCGTATGCTCACAGCCAGCTCTCATGCACACGGATTAGCTTCTTGTTCAAAAACTCCTGGATACCGAGCTCGCTCAGCTCTCGTCCAAACCCAGAATTCTTCACACCACCAAATGGCACGCCCGGCCCGGAATTGACAGCCGAGTTGATGAAGACCATCCCAGCCTCGATCTGACCCGCCACTTCCTTTGCATGCTTGATATCGCTGGAGAAAACCGACGAACCCAGGCCAAATGTCGTAGCATTGGCGAGTTCGATGGCCTCCTCTTCGGTGTCGACCACGTACAGGGTAGCCACTGGCCCAAAGGCCTCCTTCATGAACAGTGGGTTGTCTCGAGACACATTCGTGATGAGCGTTGGCTCTAGATAGTAGCCCGGGCGGTCAATACGCTTTCCACCCAACACTACCGTGGCACCGGCGGCTTTGGCCTCGCCAATGAGACCAATGAGGCCCTCAATGGCGGACTCAGAGACAACAGGACCCAGGGTTGTTGCTGGGTCTATTGGGTCACCGGCTTTCATGGCTTCAAACTTTGCCTTGACACCCTCGAGGAACTCCTGACCCCGTTCCTTACCCACAATGATGTATCGCTTGATCGAGGCACAAGCTTGGCCCATACACATCATACGACCTGCGGCTGCGACCTCGATGGCTTGATCGAGCGGTGCATCCTGCAAAACAATCAGTGGGTCTGAACCTCCCAACTCTAGGACGACCTTTTTGAGGTGACGACCGGCTTGCTCGGCCACTGATGCGCCAGCGCGTTCACTCCCGGTAAGGGTTACGCCCCGGACGCGGAAGTCGGCAATAAGAGCGTTGATTTGGGGAATTGAGCAGAATAGGTTGGTGTAAACACCCGCTGGTGCTCCGGCGTCGATGAACAGCTTCTCGAGGGCGAGCGCGCACTGCGGCACACTCTGTGCATGTTTGAGCAAGACTGGGTTTCCGGCGACAATCTGAGGGCCAGCGACACGAGCGACCTGATAGTAAGGGAAGTTCCATGGCTCGATTGCGAGAATCACCCCAATGGGCTCGGAGGCGATGACGGCCCCAGGAACGCCTGGTAGGTCGACCGTCTGCAAGAACTTCTCTCCGTTTTGGGCGTAATAGTCCAGGATAGCGGCAGAGAACTCGACCTCGCCGAGCATACCGCCAATGGTCTTACCCATTTCCAGCACAGCGAGCTCCGCGAGCTCCTGTTTGCGCTCGCGCATCAGGGCTGCAGCCTTGCCCATGATTTTGCCGCGCTCAGCGACGGATCGGCGACGCCAGTCTTTCTGGTAGACCTCATGGGCTGTCTCGAGGGCGGCAAATACTTGCTCATCAGTTGTCGCCGTAAAGGCCTTGATCAATTGCCCATTGGCTGGGTTGACGGTCTGGTATGCGATATGATGGTGCGCCATGTCGTGGAGCGGTGATAGGACTCAATGGCTGTCTTGAGGCGGAAGATATTGATGTGTGGGCGGATAGCTGTTAAGAGGGGAGGATTGAGTGAGTTTCTTCCTTTCTCTATTGCTGACTTGCTACACTCTGCAGATCACTTCTCCTGCGTGTATACCTTTCCATTTTATATATAACAACGGGAATGCGACTTGTTCGACAACATCTCATGCAAAAGCACCGAACCACTACCCTAAAGAGATTGCTTACGAATAGCTCCTTCACTACGATAAAGTCTGAGTCATTTTCTCTGGAACAGAGATGTCACGTCAGGCAACTCGATGAACAATGCACGACGTGTCGATCGATCTAGATAGCACACCACAGAGGTATGGGAGTGTTGCAACGGGAGAGCAATGTACTAACTAATGCTGTGTTTCTCCCAGAGGAGCCAAACGGCTCCACCGGAGCATCTTTAGGCCTCGCTGCGGCTTTAGAGAGGGGCTGGACATGTGGTCGACGGGCCAATCAGCAGCAGCCTGGGCTCGAAGGAACTATTTGGGAGGGCGACTTCACATGCGACTTGGGCCGTTTCTTGACTTCTGGATCATTGTCGGGGGGAGGCCAAAGCACTGGAAATCTATGTGGCCATGACTAAGTCGTCGCGTCGGGAGTATGGTCTCTTCCTCCCGGAGGAGGACCATCATGTCCGCGGCGCAAGTCTGATACTCATCAGGTGAGTATGGAGGTGAGATACGCGTGGTAATGGAGACCGCGGCGTGATTCCATTGACTATTGCCCTGGAAGTCTTTTCCAAGGATAAATGAAGAAGCCCCTTGCTATACAAGATGCAGGACTTAGCAGCTCAACTGGCTGTGGCGCTTGCACATTCCAGAGACGAGATCAGGATCACAAACCACCCCTTCCCTTCCTCTTTTCCTACAGTCTGCTGCAGTTCACGACTGCTTCCTCTTATTTTCTGGACCGATCAGAGACGCCAGGCGAACAAGCTGCAAATATGGTGGTCAACAAGGCGATGGTCTTCAGACAAATCCCTGAGGGGCTCCCCGTGGGAGGTAAGGACTTGACAATTGAAACCGTTGTCGACTACGATGCAAGCTCCCCTGCCCCGGTGGGGGGAGTACTGTTACAAGCAGAATATGCAAGTTTCGATCCTTATATGAAGGGACGTATGCGCCCGGCGCACATCAAGTCCAACGCGACGGCCTTTGGGCTGAACAAGCCGCTGTTCAACCAATGCATTGCGAGGGTCCTCAAGTCGAACCACCCCAAGTACCAGCCCGGGGATCAGATCATAGGGGAACTCCCGATCCAACAATACGTGTCGGTGAGCGGTGCAGACCTCGACAAGATCCAACACCTCGAGAATCCTCTGGGACTGGAGGACGTCCGCGTGTTTCTAGGGGCCCTCGGCATGTCGGGACTGACGGCATACTCGTCGTTTTACGAGATCGGACAGCCCCAAAAGGGCGAGACGATCTTCATCTCCGCCGCCAGCGGCTCCGTGGGCAGCATGGTCGGCCAGCTCGCCAAGCGCGAGGGGCTGAGGGTGATTGGCAGCGTGGGATCGGAGGAGAAGCTCGATTTCATCATCCGCGAGCTCGGGTTCGACGCCGGGTTCAACTACAAGAACGAGAGGCCCGCCGACGCGCTGAAGCGACTGGCGCCTGACGGCATCGACATCGACTACGAGAACGTGGGCGGCGAGCATCTCGAGGCCGCGCTGGGCGCGATGAAGGAGCACGGGCGCGTCATCGTCTGCGGCCTGATCTCCGAGTACAACGCGACTCCCGGCCAACGGTATCCCCTGTACAACTACGGCCTCATCCTGCGGCGGCGACTCACGGTCCGCGGGTTCGTCGTCTTCGACCACGGCTTCGGCGACAAGTACCACGCGGAGCACCAGGCCAAGGTGCAGCGGTGGATCAAGGACGGGACATTCAAGGTGGTGACGTGGGAGTGCGAGGGCATTGACAATGCCATTGACGGGCTGCTGGCGCTGTTCTCGGGGCGGAACTTTGGCAAAGCGGTGCTGAAATTCTGAATGACATGGGTTGTCTACTGTCTTCTTGAGTTCCCCTGTACTTGTTCGTATCCAAAAAAAACCACTCTGTATATATAATATGCTCCTCATGTTGATATTTCCAAAACAGTATCAAGTCCAATCCTCCCTCTTGTCTCCCTTCCCACCCTTTCTGTTTCTCAGAGAGAGGACCTTGTTCTCTTGCATAGTAGTACTCCAAGTCAATTCAATCCTCGCATCCATCCCATATCCGCGCCACACCTCTCTCTTCTGCACTTTGTAGAGGATGTGTGACGTGGGGGACGAAAGTAGAAAGTGGCCCCCCTTTCTCTTCTGCCCACCCCCCCTTTTGGGAACTATTACCCACCAGTGCCTTTCCCGGCTTTGAGCTGCGCTGTTATTAATAGTTTAAACCCTAGCCTCGGGTCCACGGATATAATGTACCTCGTGCTAGGGGGGAGGTTCCACTTCTTAACGCCTAGCGCCACGCCACGACGTTGCCCCATGCATCATCCCTGGACGAACGAGCCCTGCCAACAGACAGCCTCATTGCACCATCACCGCCACCGACGAACAGTGCGCAGGACACAAGGGTTGTCGGTTGATTTACTCGCTATCTCTCTGCATCTCTATCTCGCACATGCCGATTATCTCCCGGCAACGGCGGCGGCAGGAAACAGGAAACAGGAAACAGGTGGCGCCACACCACACCCATCACACACACCACACCACATCCCTCCCTCCTTCGCGTGGGCAAAAGCAAGAAAGGCCTGCTTGCTTGCTTGCATGCTTGTAATAACGCCATGACAAAGATATTTGTGCTCTTGCTTACATGAGTGAGTATCTCGGCTCGATGGTTCCAGCCAATGCGAACCACCATGTCTGTTTTCCATATCGAGCAAAGATGGATAATTCCGCCGCTTTACACAGTAGGGCATTCGATCAGGACGAGAGAATGACGGGTATTTTTTTGAGGAGGAAGAGGGGGAGAAAAAACACACAAGGCGGCTCAGAAAGGAAAAGGCAAGGAAGTCATGGGTGATATAAAGCGCGATCGATGGTCGGTGGCCCGGGCGAAGGATTGGTTGTGTTGGTAGTTCCATTGGACTCATCGACAGGTGATTTTCTGCGGGTTATATCGGGTTTCAACAACTGCAGAGCTGCGAGGGGTGTGGGGGATATATACACACGCACGCACACCACACACATATACCTGTCTCTTATACAAAACC